GAATTCTAACTTCTGCCAATTTACGACATGGCGCGACCGCTAGTCAGTGCTATCTCTGGCGAGTATTTGTCTTAACACCCAACCTGCTGCATTCTACTGGTCATGACATCCCACTAGAACGCCAGGTAACTACCTACCTAAATAGGGCTAGTTGCTAGTGAGCGTGCCATTGATTTTCAAATATTGATTTGTAGAGATTTGATTGATTGGTTACAGGATTTCATCATGAGCTGACGTGGGTTGTTAGAGAACCCTTGGAAATCCTGAGAATCTCAAACTAGGACGAAATAGTTGTCCAGTACTCCCAGCTGATTTTCCAATGGTGCTCATGATGAGGTCCTGTAACCAATCAATCAAATCCCTACAAACCAATATTTGAAAATAAAAAAGATGAATCCACCCTTCCCCCCTCCAGAGAGTAAAATAGCCTCTTCTCTGGTCTACTTACTCTTCTTTCAATCAACTGGTCCTCTAGTAAACAAACATCATGACGGTATTCTAAAGTCTCCATATACTTTGCGCCACACAAAGTATATCCACCATACGCAACGTCAAGTCCACAAACGCATTCTGGAACATTGTCCAGCTTGGCTAGCCAACCAGAGGAGGAAAGAAGAATACTAGCAGCTCCATCTTCAAACACCCTGTCAACTCTGGATATCGAGCAGAGCACTCCTACTTGCATGAATACTTCATAGTGTTAAACACAATTCCTCAATATCGTACAAAGGGGACTTCGAATACACCATCTGCAAACAGTTGAATCATTGGCTGGCTATTCAGGATGTGAAATCGGACATCCGTATCTAAAAGCGATATATAGATTCTCTCACCCTCTCTCCCTTTTTTATTATGTAAGTCCACTATTATTATTGTTATTACTATTATTGCTTTATTATCCTTATTATTCCCATCATCCATATTTTATGACCACTCTATTACTGTTTATGAATAACATTGCGTTTTCAAACGGATTTTATATAAAAACAATTGATCGTCTTTCCACTAGTTCCTGTCCATTCTACACGAGCATACTGATTAGTCCGAAAAGCCGACAAACTGGTCGAAGAAGCAGCAAAGACAGGACTGCAGATGAACAGACAAGACGGAGGTAATGAAAATAACCAACCAACAACAACAGCAGCAGCAACATCCAGCGCCAATTACTATCAATGGGAGAGATTTGAAAGAGTTTACTTCATTCACTTATCTAAGGAGCATTGTCTCAACTACAGGAGGAAGGGACGAGAACATCAAATCGAGAATCGGGAAGGCGAGAAACACATTCATCAACTTGAAACCAATCTGGAAATCTTCGTCACTCAGCCTGTATCAACAACAAAATGATTCGGATTTTCAATACAAACGTCAAGTCAGTCAGTTCTTCTATACGGATCAGAAACTTGGCGGCGGGTCACAAAGAATATTTCCAACAGCTTGTTGCAGACCTTGATCAACAACTGCCACCTTCGCTCTATACTGAAGATCAAATGGCCGGAAAGAACAGGCACCAACAAGAAACTATGGGAACAAACAAAACAAGAACCAATCGCTGAACAAATATGCAGGAGAAAGTGGAGATGGATTGGACACTCGCTGAGGAAGCCATTCGCTGGGTGACATCGCGCGTCAGGCCAGTGCTCGAGTGGAACCTGAAATGGAAGCGGCGAGTGGTTTGTCAGTGCAAGGGTGACATGGAGGAGATCGTGTGATGAGGAACTGAAACAGTATGGACTAACATGGATGCAAGTGAAAAGTACAGCAGAAGATAGAAGCAAGTGGAGACGTGCAGTTGAAGCCCTATGTTCCACTAGGAACCCAAGGGAACAATAATAATAATACTGATTAGTCATTATCTCACACCCATTACGTCATGCCAACTTCTGCCTCTTTTCTAACTCAGAATTAGTCACACCTCCTAGGTTATACCTAATAATACATAATACTTTTTTCGAGGACAGCTTTTACCAGTATCTGATTGGTTACTCATACAGCAGCTTATGAAAATGTGAATCGTCCAAAAAGGAAAAAACACATCCTAATTACATCATACTCATATCACTCACACCTTCCTTCGATGTCTATTCCACCCAAGTAATCACCCAATGGTTTCTGGTCAATGACTATTAAGTCAGCTAACATGAATTCTGTAATACTGGTGAAGTTTTACCATAATAGTTTGTTTATTAGATGTATCACACAGAGTCAGTGAAACAGTATTATTTACTGAATGACAGGGTTTCGAACAAAATTTATTGTTCATAATCACATCATCAATTATAATCACACGACTTCGAAACTTGAGTTTCATAGTTTTCTTTGTTGTCTCCTATTTGTCGTCGTTCGGGTAGTAGAATTTTCCAGATATCTACCTGGACAAGTGTTGGATTATTCCTGTTACATGTATTTGCAGTTGATTCGATAAACAAAGCTTCTGTTATCAATCTCTCCATCCACCCAGCTGTTACATTAGATTTTAAAACTGTCATCCCATCCCATCCTATTGTATGTTTGTTGTGTGTAAGTGCATGTAGTGAGTGCTATAGCTGAACTATTCTCCAGATTTCTTATCTTATTCGGGTCAACTAATCTAGATTTTGCTAGTCTGACTGTCCCTGTTCTACTAGTTTGACCTATGTATTTGACCTGACAATCATTGCGAGCAGGGTATTAGATAAACTAAATTGTTTTGTTTAATTGGCTCCACAGGATCCTTTAACCGACAAAACTTGTTTCTAATTGAGTTTGTGGGTTTGAATGCCAGCCACTTTTATTCCTGCCTTGTTAAGAATTCTGCGTAAGGTTTCCGAGGTTCCTTCCTTGTATGGAATTACTACTGATGATTTAGATTCCTTATTGTTGTTGTTGTCTTGCGCATCTTTGACATGCATGTCGTCATTATTATTATTATAACTAATTTCTATTTTACATTTCCCTACATACTTTCTGACTAATTTATCAGGGTATATTAATTAAGTTTCAAAGCTTCTCTTATATGTATCACTTCCTGTTTTAGATTTTCCTTGGTACTACTTAGTTTTTGTGCTCTGTCATTTAAACATTTCACCAATCCTATTTTTACTGACATACGATGGGATGATCGGAAGTCCAAATATCTGTTTGAATGTGTGGGTTTCCTGTAAACACACTAGTGTGTTCAACTTCCCATCTTCTTTCCTTCTTACACTGCAATCTAACATTAGAAGCTCCCCTTCCTGACTTTCCAATTCATAAGTGAATTGAATTGCTTCAACCTTCGAGTTAATGTGTTCGAAAAATCTATCTATATCCTGTGTTCTAAGTACAGTGAATGTGTCATCTACATACCTCCACTATACTTTTGGGGTGGGGCTGAACGTTTCAATCACTATGTTTTCCCACCTATCCATGAATATATCTGCTACAACCGGGGATATTGGTGATCCCATGGCAACTCCCTCAGTTTGTTTGTATATTTTCCCTTGGAATTTAAATACTGTGGAAGTCAGGCATAGCTGCACTCCCAGCATTATATCCTCAAGTGGCACTTTCGTCCTAAGTTCGAGTTCTTGGTCAGAAATGAGTTCGTTTCTGACTGCCTCTATAGCCATATTTATTGGTTATACGTGTATATAAACTGACAATGTCAAAACTAACCATTTTCTCTTCATTATCTAATTTTAAATTATCTAATCTGTATGTTTTAGTTCGTAAGAATTAGTTAGTCTAGATTTCGAGTGGCTTTTTAGGGGATTTAATACCATGGCTAAATATTTAGATAATTCATAAGTAGGTGAATTTCTAAAATCAACTATAGGCCTAATAGGGTACCCTGAATTATGAACTTTGACCGCTTGCTTTACAGGCAAGTGGACGGGGGTGGCGATGGGCTCCCCTCAGCTCAGAGTTAGAGCTATATGCTCAGAAGAAGTAATTGAAGATGAATTGAGCATTGTATATGATATTTTGATCGAAAATAGCTATCCTGACAAATTTATCAAGAAACACATGACAAAGAAAGCGGAAAAGGACTACTCACTGTCTGTAAACAAGAAGCCTTTATATATACGACTGCAATTCATGGGCGATATACCAAGCGAGATAATTACGAAGAAATTAAGAAAATCAGTTCAAAGAACTTTTAATGCTGGCGAACTACACGTATTATTCTCTACACGACCGATGGTGCTACCTCGACTGAAAGATGAAGTACCTAGACTAGCCACTTCAAATTGTATCTATCAATTCAACTGCGCTTGTGGAGCGAGTTATATCGGCCGTTGCTCTAGGAACTTGATTTTTCGTGCTCACTCGAGAACATCTCCCACTATGGCTAAGTAAAGGTGTAGTTAAAACTATTAACAGCTCGATATTAGACCATCTGGTGCAAACCGGTCACAAAGCCAGCCAGCGTAGAAGAATCCTTCTCCATAATATACCGGGTGCCTAACAAATTACCAAAATCGTCGAAGCACCGCATGCTCCAAACAGCAGAGGCTATTGCAATTCGCCTCAAACAACCAGTGCTCTGTGTTCAAAAGAAACAAGTCCAGCCCCTACTACTTGCCCTGGCCTTCAGTAGAGACTATAAATTCATGAATTTGTAATATTATCTTTCCTAATTTTTCTGATATTCAGTTTATTGTTATGTTGATGCTGTTCAGCTGTAATCTATCAATATTATTGATTTGATGTTATTTAAACAACATTAATGTCGTTCATAACACTAATTCATTCATTCACTATAATGTATATATAACTGTAGAGCCTGATGATGAACAGGTTATCGAAAAGAGTACTCTTTGTTCCTTCCATTCTTTTGAGAACTTTAATAACACCATACATCCTACTGGTAAAGTTTTTAATGTGTAATCTTCATTTCCTATTCAAATAAACCATACAATTAATTTACTTATAGAGGCAATAAGATTGGGATTACATAATATGACAATGACACAAAGCGAGAGAGAGTGAATGAGAGACAAAGATGAGAACAAAGCGATCGATGAAGAATGTATAATTCATCTTGAAAGTTGTTGAATTTCTTTTGTCAATGCATGAATTTCTTCACTTTGTAATTTTGCCAACTGGACAAGTTGTTTCAATTGTTTCGCATCAACAAAACCAGAAGAATTATGCATTGCTCCAATCTAATGAGAAATATATATGAGAAAGAAAGGCGAATAGAAGAGAAATTAAACTGCAAAAATCGAAATGCAATTGATGGGGGGATTTAATGTATTTGCCAAGGATTAATTTTTGTGTTGACGCATGGCAGCTCTTTTTTATTTTTGGAACACTCCAGCCGTGTCTGAGGATCATCATGATACCATGTTGCTTGTTGGTAACTAGCAGCAGAATTTATGATGTTTATTTCGTGGCCAAATAGACAATATTATTTGTCTGATAAAAATTCCGGAAATTTAATTGGTGCATGGGGACTAGCAGTGGAATCCAGGATGCGCATTTCGTCCTATTTCAGACTCGTCATCTGGATGTACCTGCATTTCTCAATATGACCCGTTGCACAAGAGGTGGCTCTCATGGCCAAAGTGGTCTAGTGGATGACGCTTTGGTGTTTGAAACTATGGGCACTGGGTTCGAGCCTCGGTGGGAAAATCATCAGTCACTGGGAAATGCTAGTACATCCAGCTGGAGAAAGAGTCCCAAATAGGACGAAATGTGCATCCTGACTGAATTCCACTGCCAATCACCATCCACTAATTGATTTCTAATTAAATGCCTAGACATCGTCGAAGCATATGCACAAGAAGCCGACATGACAACTTGAGAACGAGCACTTCGGTCCACTTAATCGACGGGAAAATCTAAAAAATTCAATTCAATTCCGGAAATATTGTGGATTATTTAGAATAGAACAAAATCCCCCCTTGACACACACACACACACACTCCAAATAAAACACGCTGAGAATTCTGCTTTGGTGTTCATTCGCATGCCTTCCGAGTAGAACAGATAGCTTCAAGGTTGATCTTGGAAACTTCCGGTGCCAGTTGTGTTATTTCTGCTGAGTGGGTGGAATTGCTGGCCTCACGTCTAACCTTTTCTTCATGTCAGGACTTACTGCAGGCTAAATGACGTTTAGGAGTGAGTCAGTCGGGAAATGAAACATTGACCCCATCAGTGTTTGGCGAGCATTTTATCACTGAACAGCCGGCGCTGAAATTGTCGGTACTCAGTACAAACCCACTATTCAAAATAAAGTCATTATTATAAGTGTTTATCTTTTTCCTAGTACATATATGAACATTTTAATACATAATTATCCAATTGAACAATGACTTATTGATATTAGTATAAAACTTCGGCACTGTGGTAGAGCATAACTCTATTATGGATAAGATTTTATTTTGATAAAATCACGCACAGTGTTGTTATACAGTAATATTAACTGATGACCACGTTTCGAGCACAAACTATTGCCACTCATAATCATATCAAGTCACTCACTCACACAACTTTCTCGCTTCATTTATATACATGAGTGAAATTAATGATTAGACATTTGAATAAAAATCAATATGTGATAATGTACATTCAGAAATAATAATACGAGTGTTATTGATCAATTACAATCAGATGGGAAATAAGACGAGTGTTTTTATAGTCCAAAATAAGTAACTTGTCAGAATGTTGTGATGTGCTTGAATTGAAATAGAATTTTGAGATTATTTATTATCCTCTTCTGATTTGACTGACTGGTGGTAATAACATCTTCCATATTTCTGGTATTTGCATTGAGTCATTTCTTTTGCATGTGTTGTGTTGGGTGTAGACTCGATGAACCAGACAGGATTCAGTAATCAATCTCTCTCTCTTTCTCTCCACCTACCTATATTACTTTTTAGAATTTTGACTCAGTTCCAGGAACCCTATTGTGTGGTTGTGTGTCAATTCATGCAGTGCAATTGCTGATTTTTTTTCTCTAAATTGCTCATTTTCGTGCGATCAATCATTCTAACCTCAGCTAAATTCTTATGTTCTGACAGGCAATCTCACTACTCCCGATCTACTGGTGTGACCTATATAGTTGACTCAACTCACAGTCATTGCAAGGTATTTTGTAAATTATATTATGTTGTCTAATCGGATCAAACTATAGGATCCTTTAACCTACAGAGCTTGTCCTATATGAGTGAGTGTGTAGGTTTGAATACCACCTTAATTTCTGCTTTATCGAGAATCCTACGTCTGGAGGGTCTCATATGTTCCCTCCTTATATGGTAAAACTACTGTAAATGACTTATATTCTCTCTTATTTATGTTATAATTATTAGTTTCACCATTATTTTGATTTTACTTTTGACCTTTTGTTATATTCCTAATGAATTTAATAGGATAGTTAATTATTTAACACCAACCAGCTATTCTTCTATCTGTTCCATTTCATCTTGTTTCCCATGTGATTGTATTTGATTGATAACACTAATATTATTATTTCCGAATGTACTTTATCTTATATCTTATCTCTGTGTGTGTAATTTTCTCTCTTTGTCTTTATTCAATTCATCCCACCTGTTTTTCAGTCATAAAATCAGTTATTTTAAGTTTGTTTCCATGCTCCTCCTGATCACACTTGTAATCTGTTTAAAATAATCATTTTTACAATTATCTTCTAATCCTGTGTAATTTTTGTTTCTATGCCTCTTGTAATCTAAATTCATACCTCCTAACTTACATTTCAAGTGGAAAAATTTTAATGTCAATTTGTTCCCAAGCTCATTTTGTTCATACCTGTAATTCGTTCCATCTCTGCGTAACTTTCATCTCAAAGCCTATGTAAACAATAACTAGTTGAAAATAATTGTCACCTTTTATTCGCCTTGAAAACTATTTCTCCAGTTGTAAAATATTAATTTTGCATACGTTGTAACTGTTATCTAATCCTATGCAATCTTGTCTCTAAGCCCCTTGTAATCTCTTTTCGTACCTTCAAACTTTCATATCAAGTTGAAAATTATTATCACCTTCGTTACTATGTGGAATTAAGCAAATAATAATTGTATCCATATAAACTAATGCGTATATAAATGCGATTGTACAGCTTTTGAAATCGCCGAAAAGATATCTTTGCTGAACTTCTTGTTCTTTTCAATCTAATGTTCCAATGGGTATTTTCCACGATTTGAAAAAATATATTGATTTTATTCAAATGTCTAATCGCATCAATTTTTACTCATGTATATAAATGAAGCAAGAAGGTTGTGTGAGTGACTTGATGTGATTATGAGTGGCGATAAATTGTGCTCTAAACGTGTTAATCAGTAAATATTACTGTTTAACACCACTGTGTGATTTATCAAAATAAATTCTCATCTATAATGAAACAATGTGCGTCGGTGGCACAACGGTAGAATGCTTGCCTCCAACCACACCCCTCATGTGGTTGGGGTTCGATCCCCAGCCACCACCGCACTCCACCTCTCTAAGCCAGTAATAAGACGACTGGTAAAGATGGAAGGTTAGGCGTGAGGCCATCAACTCCACCCCGTAAAAATAAGCACCACTGCTACTGAAACTTCAAGCCTCTAGCTTGAAGCGGCCCAATATTCCACTGGGAACGTGGCCAGGAATAAAAAATAACAACGACAAACAAAATAATAATGAAATAATGACTTACTTTACTTCCTTGTGTATGATTTAATTCATTTTGTAATTGTTGATGTTCATTGAATAGCATTAACAGTTGGGTTAAATAAACTGTATTCTGACGTACTTGTCCCATACAATCATCACGTGCCATACGTATTTTTGCCTTTATACAATTAGAATATAAAAATTAGGAGTTGTAGTAAAATTTAGATGCCATTGTAAGTAGCAAAATGAGCTTAAAAATGAGATTATCTGCATTTTAGTCTGAATACAGGGGACCAATCGATGCGTTCCTCTATATTGCTTATCAAACACCCCATTAGTCACGCCGACTGGCTGACTGAGTTTCCACATGCAACTTTCCACAGACGTGCACCCCTGTTCAAGTTAACGTACTTCATGTAGAACACAAAGGTAGACAAAAGAGGTTCAAAAGAACTTTAATCAGCAGAAATATGCAGGAGAAAGAAAGAACATCAGGATTTTATAGATATGGGAGATGAAAAGGGCGTGAAATGATTCTGCAACACTGACAATGATTTCGGGCAATATCGCCAACAGTCTGAAGCCACAGATTTTCAGCAACCCGAGGATCCCCACAAGGCATTCTACACCTCATTGTGTCGCTTAGTCTATCTAAAAGTCGTAAAATTAATTGAGAAATGTCAGGTTCTGATTTGAACATCCCTAGATATTTTTCAAGCTCGAAGAGGAAGGCGGTGGCTAGGCATGAGTAACACGTGTCCTAGCCATCACGGTTAATTTTACTAAACGACAGTATCGACTCACCTACTCTCCTTACCCAGTAATCTATGCCAAACTTCAGTATTGTTATTATTGTTCTCTTGGGTTTCGAGTGGAACATATGGCTTCAACAGCGCGTCTCCATTTTGTCCTGTTTCTATGCGGTCCTCTACAACTGGTCTCACAGTTACCCGTAGTCTGTCATCTCCTCATTGCCACCCTCGGACAAAAGCTCAGCTCGTCGTTACGCATTCGGGTTCCAATCGAGCGATGGCCTGGCTCGTGACGTCATCCAATAGACTCCTTAGCATAAGTCCAATCAGTCTAAATTTTCCTCGAAATATTTGTTGAGTATTAGGTTCTTTGTTGGTTACTCCCCAGATTTTCTTGTCCCTATTTCTTTCTAGCCAGTATGGAGTCAGAAACCTCAGCGGTTGATGAAAGTCTACAGTAGTCTGTTGCGAATGTTTACATGATGCACTAGCCAAGTTTCTGACCCACATAGAAAAGTTACTGAAGCTACATTAGTGTTGAAAGTGCGAATCTTGTTCTTTTTACTGAGTCAGCACAGGCGATTTCCAAACTGATTTTAGATTGTTGAAGGTCTACCTCGCCTTTCCTATTCTACTTGGTTTTGAAATCTTCATCGGCTCCGTATGTAGTTGAAGCAATGCTGTATATTAAGATAAGTGAAGGAAGTAACCTCTGTTAAACTTTTTTCTATTGATGGTGATCCGTGTTCGCTGTTATTGTTGTCAGTTGGTTATCTTTATTACCTTCGTCTTTTTCTATGCTCACCCGGAGTCCTGTCTTCGCTGCCAGTTTCTTCTGCCAGTTCGTTGATTTTCACCTGTAAGTCTTCGAGTTTGTGCGACATTAAACAAAAATCATTCACGCGTGAAATCCAGATCTTCTACAGTCTTCTCACTGGTCCGGCTTATTGCTGTCTTCTCGCTCTTCACAGTGTGACGCATAATCCAATCTGTCACAGTTAAAGGAATCCTCAGATTTGGGGCACCTCACTCCATAATTTTTAGGTAGTTTCCGAATTACTTCGCAGTCAACGTAGTCAAAGGCCTTTTCCTAGTCAATGAGGTTGAGATGGAGATTTAACTACCATTCTGTACATTGTTCGATGACGATGTGTAGAGCTGCAATTCAATCCGCACATGATTTGCCTTTCCTGAATCCAGCTTGTTCCAAATGACAGAGTTCTGAATCCACTGCATCATTCATTCTCTCTGGGATGACGCGACAAAGTATTTTATTTGGCGTGAACAACAACATGATTCCACGCCAGCTCTTGAAAAGGCTTAAATCGCCCTTTTTGGTAGCTTGATAAGGTAAACTTTCCTCCAGTCAATAGGTATCTTCCATTCCCTCCAAATATTTTGCAATAATCGAGTGAGTATATCCCCTGCAGTCTCTGGATCCGTTTCCAGTGCCCCGGGAGGAATTCTGTCTGGTCCTGCTGCCCTCCCGGACCTCGGTAGCTCGATCGCATTCAAGATATCTGCCTTCGTTGGAGGGTTGGTTTCCACTAGCAGTTCCGTACGTGCTAATGGTGGTATTTCTGGGTGGGTTGCGGGTGATGTCCGATTGAACAGTTCTTTGGAAGGATCAGCCCATTGTGCTAGCTGTTCCTCCTTCTTGAGCATCTTTTACTGGTTTCATCATCTGCGTTGATCTTTTCCCGGATAGAGACTTCATTTTCTGATATAATGTTCTTAGGTCTGTTTCACCTGTAGCCTGACTGTTCTGCTTCAGTTGCCGGCCAGTGTGTCGCAGAACTATCTTTTGTCTTTATTAGCACTCTCCTTCACTTCTTCATTCAGTGCAGTGTACAATGAACTCAACTTCTCACTCTGTCGTCCATCTTTGCATTGGGTGGTCATCGTCTTTTTCACCATCCTTCTCTCTTCTTTTAACTTCCAAGCGTCCGTTGAATGCCATTCCTTACCTTGTCTCTTCTTTCTTCCTAGAACGGTTGTACGCGTTTTCTTGAGCATAACCCTAATAAATTTCCAATGTCCTTCCATTCAGTTTTCCTTCAACCTTACTCACCATATAATACCACTTAACACAAGAGATAGATAGAATACAAGTAACTGTGACAGAAAACATTTAGATTTTGCATCTTTTCCACTTTCAATAAACATATCTCAAAATCATATAAGAGGACATAGTGAAATGTTGCATGCGAGCAAGTCATGGAAAAGAATGTTCTTCTCACAAACTTTTTGTCTTAATGTCTAAACGGGAATTTTATGTATTTATGCATATATATTTTAATGTAGAGTCTTTGAGGAAGAACTAGTTCAGAAGGAATATATTTCTTCACAGAGGTTTTCCTCTAGGAGCCGTTTTCATTATTATCTTCATCATCATTATTAACTAACAAGATTAGTAGCTATTAAAAAGAGTTTACTTACTACTTGCTAATTAAAAGTAGTATAAAAAGGTTACATAATTATATTACAACACATTTAAGCAAACAGTGATATTGTGCTTTCAATTCGATCTCATCAGGCTTAAGTTTAATATGCAGACAACTTTACAAATATATAAACCAATCACGGTGTTTTGTCTATAGGATAAGATAAGATTGTGCATTATAAATTGTGCCATAAGTCATAATAACAATAATAATAACAGTTCTATCAATCACATGGATGAAAAAGTGAGGTGATCTGTGATAACAACAATAACGGAAAACAGCATGATTAAACAAACAAATGTTCAGGTAGACATAGGAGTCGATAAAGGCTAAGAGAAACAAATGGATTGATTGAGTGATGCTAGATTGAAGAGAGAAAGAACGAACATGTTTGCAGGATAATACTGTAACAACAGAAGACAAGGGTCAGGAAACAGAACGTTTATTACGGAAAATCAACACATATTTATAGATTTTGATGTACATTATTGTAGGTTAATGTTAGTAGAAAATACAGTCTGTTGATTGGTTGTTTCTCACATAAAGTTAACCTTGCATCTCTTGTGGCTGTGTCAGTTCATCTATATGTCAACTGTATCCACCTGTCCATCTTGACCTTGTTTTCATATGACTAACATTGACCCCAATTACTGTCAACTAATTTGGCTAGCAACCATCTATCACCGCAATACGAGCTCGTTTTATTTCGTGGATTCTCATCAACTGCATACATCCTAAACAAAATCAAATTATAGGTTTCAAGAAAGTTGTTGTGAGTACCCTACTCACGTTAACTCCAACTGCATTTACCAATTCACGTGCACCTGCGGAAGCAAGTACATAGGAAGGACTGAGAGGACAGCATCTACTAGATTTTCTGAGCACATTCCTAAGAATCTCCGTACAAAAGGAAGAAAAGTGTTATCGAGTGCAATCGCCAGACATTTAATTGACGCAGGACACACAGTAGAAATTAGCCATGCCTTCAAAATAATCAATACACAACGAAACCCATGGCTAGTTCGCTTCACAGAAGCCACTGCTATCAAGAGATTTCGACCAGACCTCTGTATACAGAAAGATAGTGTGAATAATCTTTCACTACCTTGGTAACCTTAACTCTATTTTATTTTTGTTTCGCCTTTCTGTCAGTATGCCTGTGTGATTATCTTGTTACGTAACATTCTATTCAAGTTTGACCTTCAAGTTTCTAAATCTACTTAATTGTTTGTCTGTTTAAGTTAAAAATGTTACTTCACTATTCACCCCCACCCTCTTAAACTCCTCACCACAAGATGTGTAAATTCACTTTGTTTTCTGACTCTGACCCTGTAATATGCCTCTAACCAATCTGTGTTGTTTTCCAATAGAAATCTGAACTCTTACCCTTCTTATCTAATTCCACTATATATAATTAGTTGTTTTTGACACCAAATAACCTGTCTACCTACATCAAATTCTGGAATTATGTTCCTTATGCCTTCTATCTATAACTCAAAGTAATTATGAAAAAGTATGTTCCACAACTTTCTTGAAACCTATAATTTGATTTTGTTTAGGATGTATGCATTGGTGAGAATCCACGAAATAAAACGAGCTCATATTATCCTGCAAACATGTTCGTTCTTTCTCTCTTCAAACTAATAAAGGGAACCGGTTGCATAATGCTAGATTGTAAGGGAAGTCAATAAACAATGTTAAGGGATGATAAGACAGGAGTTGAAAATATAGGTAAGGGTTGGTGTAGAAGTCATCAGTTGGTTATGTCTTAATAGGCCAACAATGGAGTGATAATGGCTGTAAGAACTTCTTTTGAATGAATGCATAGTTTAGGCTTAATAGTTTGAATGCTTATTGCCTCAGCTGTGTGCGTGTAGTAGACGAATACGAAGTCTATTGGAAAGATCTGGTGGGATGTGATGAATTACCTTGAAAACTCTCGTTTCCTATCAATTAAATGTGACAAAATTGAGCTACGAATTGTTTTTGTCAGTCCTTTGCTAAACCACACTATGATGCGAGATGTTCAGTAACAACAAGTTGGCTAAGCCACTGTTTAGTAGTACGGCACCCAACATAACTGTCTTCAAATTAGCAATACACAATTTACACAGTCCCTTTGAAAAATGAAATTATTCACATCGCAATGTGTAATCAGTCTTCGTGACATCATAAATGGCAATCAGGAGAGCAAACAAAAATGCACGATACTCTGTGTACTACTCATTATAAATTATTTGTAAAATATATACATACTACTGATTAATGTATTTGAGTAGTTGAAAACCTCACGCATAAATCGGTAGTGCTTGCTAGACAGATCGAAGCTGCAGCGATGTCGATTACCTGGGTGCCAAACTCATCAGCAGTTTACCCAACTTTGACTCGCCACAAAAAACAAATCACTTTAAGCTACTCGACTTCTAGTTAGCTACCTTGGTAAACTGCTCGATGTGGCTGGTAGTCAACTACTCAAATCGGTCAATCAGTAGTACATTGACACCATGTACATGTACTAACTTCACATTCAATTCAGTGGTATGAAGCGTACCCCATCGTGAAAACCTACCTCAATTTTCGCCTCTTCTTTATTAAATTCTTCTTGTAATATCAGCATTTTTGTAGTTAAATCTTCCAGTTTAGGATTGACCATAACATTTTCCATTTTTTCAATATCATCTATTCGACCGAATTTATCATTCATCTCCTTATCACAGATAGCAGACAACTTTTCTAACTCTTTCTGCAAATCAAGAAAAAAAAAGATGAAGTAAGGCTGTAACGACAGAAGACAAGAGTCAGGCAACAGATCGTTTATTGAGAAAATCAACAGATATTTATGGATTTTTATGTACATTATCATTAGCGTTATTGTTAGCAGATAAGCAACGTCTTCTGTTTGGTTGTTTTCCTGCTGAAGGTTAATAATAATAATAATAATTACTTACTTTATTCCAAAAATAGTACTTGTGATACAGAATGGAATTTTCAGCATTAATCACAATATCTTGCATCTAATTTCCTCAAATTATAAGTAAAATTAATCACACAGAAAAGTTTTCCACATTTACTATAGGGGTAATGTCAAAAAAAACATGCAGCATATAAAATGGAAATAATAATAATGATAGCAGCTAAGTTAGTGATAATAATGCAAATGAAAATTGCCGTCGGCTTGCTTCACACAGTATTGTCGATGCGGTATACAAATCCTTGCATGAATAAAAACATTGAATATTATGTTCTCTTTACATGATATGGTGATGGAAAAAAGAAAGATTACAGCAGTCATAGAGATAAGTTGGTGTTTGCAGTTATGAAAGTAAAAACAAAGAAGCAACAGGACCATAAATATAATAGAAATAATAAAAGTGAAACTTGAAGGTATATAAGGATGGATGGATGGAGGAGATTGTTTATTTACTAGATGAAAAAAGGTTAGTTAATATTCTTGCCTGACGCTATTTTCATCACATAAAATACGTGCCAAGTATGGTATCATAGAATTTTTATACTTAGATGTGCGAGCATACGGTTTTCTGAGGAGACGCAAGGTGAAAGCTGAGGGTGAAGTGGATGCTCCAAGTCAAACAAAATCCCTTTAGCAAATTTACTGCACGAAGTCAAGTGCCTATCGACAACGACGGTAACTCATCTCTTTGTTGCCATTACTTAAACAGTCCGTTGATATACCTGCTAATCGTATCCACCCACACTAAGTCCGCTGTGATTGGTTGTTGCGTTTCTCAAGGTTAGGCTTTGTTCTTGTTTTATTCTCTCATGACCAAGATTTGGGACGCAAACATTGAAGTAAATGGCTGTCTACCGACTTTGATTAGCAGACACCTCTCACCACAAGGGTAATAAAAAGGGCTAATATTATCGGTATAAAGAAGAATCGATATCCAACGGATATCCACAAAACTTGGTCAAAAGATGCCTAGCCTTCGACCCAGCCGAAACAACTCAAAATTATCCGACGAAAGTACAAAGGAAATCGTTATACCACATACAAGGAACATCTCTGAAATCACCGCAAAACCACTGTAACCTTCCACAACAGACGTCGTCCACAAAACAACAAAGGCACTTCAATATATACCACGTTGACCGGAAGGTACAGTAACTGTGATGAAAATTATTTTGGTCAAAATGGACATCTTTTTCAATATATGTGTAGAACTTGGGCAGTGTGGTAGTAAGTAATTCCACATCAGTTTAATTATTAGATATATCACACAGTGAAACAGCATTATTTACTCGATGACGTTTCGAACAAAATTTATTGTTCATAGTCACAACAATTGTAATCACACGACTTTGAAAATTGAGTTTTATACTTTTCTTTGTCCTCTCCGATTTGTCTTCGTAGGGGTAGTAGGATTTTACAGATATCTTCATGGACAGGTGTTGCATAATTCCTATTACACATATTCTCTCTCAGTTGACTCGATTAACAAAGGTTCCGTTATCAATCTCTCCTCCCACTCTATGACATTAGATTTTAAAACTGTCATCCTATCCCATCCATCCTATTGTATGGTTGTGTGTAACTGCACTTAGTGAGTGGTATAGCTGAACTATTCTCTAGATTTTTTTCTTATTTGGATCAACCAATCTAGATTTTCCTGCTAGGTTTTTATGTTCAGCTAGTCTGACTCCCCTTGTTCTACTAGTTTGACCTAAGTCTTTGACCTGACAATCATCGCAGGTAGGGTATTAGATAAACTAAATTGTTTCGTTTTAAAGTCTCCACGGGATCCTTCAACTGGCAAAGCTCGTTTCTTATTGAGTTTGTGAGGCAGTTTGAATGCCACTTTTATTCCTGTCTTGTGAAGAATTCTGCGTAAGTTTTCCAAGGTTCGTTCCTTGTATGGAATTACTACTCATGATTTAGATTCCTTATTGTTGGTGTCGTCATTAATAACAAAACAATTTAGTTAACATTGAAATAAAACTGTAGTGAAAACTGACAATATAATCCATGTAAAACAGAGTAACGCTTAAATTACCCAGGCGAAAATAGTATCCACAGGAATAACTTACCTGAAATAGTCTTTTATGTTTTTGTAGCATTGCATGTCGAGCTTTCGCCTGCTTTCTTTCAACTCGTTGATGTTTCTTCTCTTCTTCTAACTCTTTTATACGTCTACGCAGTGCATGTAATGTATGCCGTAGAAATATCAGGCTACCAGTCATATCAGATGGTACAGAATAATTCGTGTAGTGATGTATTTGATCTAATCGAAGAATGACAATAATTTCTAATTCATTTAATTTACGTTGTTTCTCTAACTGAAAAACAAAAGAAGGACAGAATTATATATGTTACACAATGAGAGATTACAAAAAAAGATTATAATTACGTTGACAGAATCAGAATCAGAAAGTCCTGGGTGCGTATTGGTGAAGAGTCCCAAACTAGGCTGATGAAACGGTTGTTCAGTACTCCCAGATGGTTTTCCAGTGGTTCTCTAACTGATGGAGGCTCATGATGAAATCCTCCAACTAATCAAACAAAATTCCTAAAATACCAATACTTGAAAATTGACCTGATGTGCACTAGCGACTGGAGTTCTAATGGGAGGCTGTGACCAGTAAGATGCAGCAGGTTGAGGTGATGAAGCAGTAACTCATTGAAGAAGACATTGCAAAGTGGTCGCGCTATGTCGTGAATTGGCAGAAGTTGGAATTCGTGAACTGGTCATTGGATTGGCGGTTCCCAGTGGCTTCTGAATGGTTTACGAGCTTTCTGGCTTTGTAACCAGGAGGTCCTGGGTTCGAATCCCCTATGGGGGGTGCGTACCGCTGAAAAATTCCTGACTATTACGAAGCATCTGTCCAGTACTCTTTGGTGGTGGCTTTCCAATGGTTCTCCAGCTGACGTCATCTCATGATAACGAACAATTATTCAGTGGCTAACTTCTCTATATTACTTAACCGTATTACTTCCTAATATTTTCATTCTGTCCCACGCTATTATGTGATTATATGGAAGTGAATACACTGCTTTAAAGCCTCATCAGTATTTGTTAATTCCTTTCCAACCTGTTCATTCTCAATCTTTCCTTTGTTCAACATTATACTACTTGCCATTAGTAAGTAGTGTGATTTTATATGTTAATTTATAACAATGACATTTGCTTACAACTGCAGTTAAATTACTTGTTCTATTATCATTCTATTAATGTATAGTTCTTACTTTTCTTCTCCTCAAACATTATTTGCTGACCTTACCCTATAGTGTATGCTTTATTACTGAAAGTTGTTTGTTCATATTTGTTTATTCCCTGCTTGGCATTCGCGGGCCGTTTGAACCGACACGTGGATCGACCTTCACACAGCATTGCTGTTTTTACTTATTGACTGCACAGTGGTTGTGCATTTGACGGCATTTAGCCACAGGCACCTCACATTTTGAGGTTTGTATATTATATATCTATTTTTATGTAATAAAGTACCGTATTTCAGAATATCCTGTATTTCGGACTTTACGCGTCACTCTACGGATGGTTAAATCTATAGTTTGGATTATCGTTTCGGATTTATTTCGGAAGAAATTCACAGTATCATTGTTATTGTTTCCTTTATTTCCTAGAAGAATATAGGGCTTCAGCCGTGCGTCTCCATTGCGTTCACTTCTCTACTAGAGTCGTCACCTGGCTCCATGTCTGCCCACATACTTTCATCTCCTCTTCATATGACCTCTTCCAAGTCACCCTCACACTGACGACCAACTAGCCGCTTTCCTTTCGGCCGGGTTCCACTCGAGCAATAGCTTGTCTAGTGATGTCACTTGATGGTTTCCTCAGAGTATGGCCAATCCATCTCCATTTCTTCCTGCTTATTTCTTGCACAATTGGTTCCTGCTGTGTTGGTTCGCTCATTGCCAGAAATCTCTGTTGCTGATCTTTTCTGGCCAGCCATCTGATCTTGAGTATTGAGCGAAGATAACTGTTAATGAAGGTCTGTAGTTTGTTTGAGATGCTCTTTATGACACGCTGGCCAAGTCTCTGATTCATCCGTATAGTATCACTGACTGACTTCACATTGGAGTTGAAAATCCGGATCTTATTTTTGATGCTGAGTGCTGTTGACCTCCACACAGACTTGAGAGTAGTGAAAGCTTGCCTTGCTTTTCCGATTCTTGCTTTGATATCCTCGTCAGTTCCGCCTGTAGTTGAAATGATGCTTCCCAAGTGGGTAGGTAAAGGAGGTTGTTTCTTTCAGGTTCCTCCCATTTATGCTGATCGTTGTCTGTTGTTGTTGTTGTTGTTCTTGTCCAGGAATCTTCATTACCTCTGTTTTCTCTATGTTCACCTGAAGTCCTATCTTCACGGGATGCTTCTTCTGCCAACTTGTTGCTTTTCACTTGCATATCTTCGAGTTTGTGGGAAATCAGACATATATCATCGGCGAAGTCTACATCCTTCAAGTTTTTTGTGTGGGTCCATTTTATGCATGTTTGCTCGCTGCTCACTGTCTGTCGCATTATCCAATCTACTGCAATCAGGAAAGCCTCCTTAGTACTGATATATAAGAAAGAACACCAGAAGCCCCAAAGTAGGGCACTTAATGAGGTTGAAATTAGCTAGGATGGCATTTATACCAATCAACCCATTCACTGATAAATTATATTGGTTTAACGATCGATAGATACAATTAAGAAGTGTAATAATAATAATAATTTACTAAATACCATTTAATGACTTTGAGGTCAATTACTTAGGTCAGACCAGTAGACCAGAGTCAAATGGATTATTGGAACATAAAAATTATGCTAGACCTAAAGTGACTGACACTGTTAAGTTAAATAACATAGAAAAAAGCTCACCAAGTGCATTGCGGTCACTTGCATATAATCATACAGTAGGGCATTATGCATTTATCCGTAGAAAACCATCATAGAACGACTAAATGATAAACTTCTATAGTTGGGTACCAGTCAGTCGAAAAAAAGCTTTCATCATCTCACTGGCAAACCGCATCAGATGAATTTGCAGCAGTGATTGCTTAGAGGTAAAGATCTTATTTCTCAAAAAATATCCTCATTCGAAATGGAAACCCGACAAGTTTCGTGGAGAAGAAGATGAAACTAAAGCCAGAAACAGCAGAATGCACTTTATTACCGGAGAAAAAACTAAATTGGAATCTGGACTACAGGGAGATTTAGCATCAGAGGAGAGGAGAATCTCTAGCGACACTGTTTCTAAGTATTGTGAAGGATAAACTTCCCCATATAACCACTGCAATGGGTATATATCAGTTTGCCTGCTCATAAGGAGCTGGGTACAAAACTCGTTCTGTGCAGGTCCTTTCAAAACATGTTAGAGTATATTTATCGGTATGGTTGCAAAGAGGAGGCTATTACTGAACACCTGGTCAACACCTGTAACGGTGTGGTGAGAGCTGTCTGCAATCCAAAATTGTAGACAACAATTGACGTCAATGTTTACGTCCCGAATCGGGGTCATGAGAAAAAACACAATAACAAAGCTTAACCTTGAGGAACTCAACAACCAATCACAGCAGATTTAACGTGTGCAAATATGATTCGCAGATTTGTGGCTTAACTTTCTGAGAAACGGTCACAAGCAGTGCAAAATAACTTTCAGCAGGAAAACAACCAATCAGAAGAGGTTGATTCTCTGCGCACAATGACGCTAATAACAATGTACATAAAAATCTATAAAAACCTGTTGATTTTCTCAATAAACGATCTGTTGCCTGGCCCTTGTCTTCTATCGTTACAACGGCATCTCAACCGACTCATCAGTGAGAGTCATTTACAAAATAAATAAAAATCTAAGAAATGGAGTGTGTTTCCGACTTCTATTTTACATACTATTACTATGACTATTATCTTATATATAGCGTAAGGATTTTCTAATCCTGTGTAATTTTGTTTCTAAGCTCCTTGTAGTCTATGTTCAAACCTTCGAACGTTCATATCAAGGTGAAAATTATTATCATCTTTAATTTCCTCCCTTATTATATTTAATTAAACGGTAATTATATTATGTTATGGAATCGCCGAAAAGATTTCACTTTCGTTACAGGATTTCATCATGAGCTGACATTAGTTAGAGAACTACCGGAAAACCTTGGAGTACTGGACAGCTGTTTCATCCTAGTTTGGGACTCTTCATCATCAGTACGCACCCACCGGGGTTCGAACCCAAGACCTTCTGGTTACAAGGTGAGCTCATAGACCATTAAGCCACTGGGACCCGATCAAATGGCCAATTCACGATAAAGTGCAACCGCTAGCCAATGTCTTCGGCGAGTATTTGTCCTCACACTGACCTGCTGCACCCTACTGTTCACGAATTCCCACTGGAAACAGCTGTCCAGTAATCCCCAAAGGTTTTCCAATGGTTCTCTAGCCAATGTCAGCTAATGATGAAATCCTGTAACCAATCAACCAAATCTCTACAAACCAACATTTAGATATCAGTTTGCTGAACCTTTTGTTCTTTTCTCTGTAATGTAGCTTAGACCTGTTAAACAGCATTGTAATTAGGCACAGAGAGGGAGAGAAAGATAGGTTAGTCGCGGAATTTTCGTTCTTCAAATCAACACATGCAATTGAAATGATGCAACACCTAGCCCGCATATATGGAAAACTGTAATTAAGAACGTGTTGGGTGGGAGGCTATTAAAAGTAAGGTATCAGGTCGTGTCAGGTGACATCACTAGACAAGTCATTGCTCGAGTGGAACCCGAAAGGGAAGCGGAGAGTTGTTCGTCAGTGCAAGAGTGACTTGGAGGAGGTCATGTGAAGAGGGGATGAGAACGTGTGGGCAGACTTGGAGCCAGGTGAAGACTGTAGCAGAGAACCGAACGCAGTGGAGACATGTGGGGCTGAAGCCCTATATTCCTCTAGGAATTAACGGAAACAATAATAATATCAGGTCGTGTGAATACAATAATACGTTGATGAATAATGAACCGTTCCATGTTAATTTGTTTATAAGGTAGATATATCACACACACATTGTGAAACAGTATCATTATTATTTACTGGATGACACAGTTTGGAACACAATTTATTATTGTCCATAATCAAAGCTATCGTTTTATAGTTTTCTTTATTCTTTCCTATTTGTCGTCGTAGGGGTATTGGAATTCTCCAAATGTCTGAATGGACAGGTGTTGAATCAATCATACTGCAAATATTTGCATCTGATCCAATGATGAATAAAGCTTCCTTTATCAATCTCTCAGGCCCTCGAGTGGAACCCTAAAGGGAAGCGGCGAGTGGGACGTCCAAGGGTGACATGGAGGAGAACGTGTAAAGAGGAGCTGAAACAGTATGGATTAACATGGACGCAGGTGAAAAGTACAGCACAAGACAGAAGCAAGTGGAGACGTGTAGTTGAAGCCGTATGTTTCACTAGGAACCCAAGGGAACAATAATAATATCAATCTCTCCCTCCACCCTGCTGTTCCATTAGATTTTAAAACTGTCATCTTATCCCATCCCATCCTATTATATGCGTATTTGTGTGTAATCGCACGTAGTGAGTTCTATATCGGGTGCTAGGTAAAGAGGGAAAATCAGTAGACGAGGCTGTGAAGTTACATCGACTGAGATGGTTAGGACATGTGTTACGCATGCATCCCTAGCCATCGCCTTCCTCGACGGACAATGTTAGCTGACATAGGGTCAGGTTGGAAAAGAGTCAGTGGTGGTCAAACCAAAACATGGCTTCATCAGTCAATGAAATCCACAACAATTATTTTAAGCCACGTAGGAAGGTGTAGATTTGCTTCCCGGATGGGGTCTTCGGGACGGTAAAAACTAATGAAGGCTGGAGACAATTGGTGATATGGCTGGTTCAAAATCTTCGTTCTCAATGGCTGGCGCAGATGCATCCACTCCTTGTGACTTATAATCTCCAATAAAACTCTATTGTTCTTCGACATTACTATTCTTTTTGCCTCATATCTCTGTTTACTGACTCTATTATGCATTCCTCCTTACTTTCTTCTCTTGCTTTGTGTTCTACATGGAGTGTGGTGACTTGAACCGCTGCACATCTGTGCAAAGTTCTATGTTGAAATCAGTTAGTCAGTCAGTCAGTGAGTGCTATAGCTGAAATATTATTCAGATTTCTTATCTTATTCGAGTCAACTAATCCAGATTTTGCTAGGTTTTGTGCTCTGTTAGTCTGATTGACCTCGTTCTACTATTTCGACCTATGTATCTGACCTGATAATCATCACAGGCAGGGTATTAGACGAGATAATACCACGTTTATGAAAGATAAACCGTGCTGAATAAAAGGCATCTAATTTTCAGTACACTGTATTACTGTACGCTATATATGATACCCTAATTTAGTATCACTGGTAGGAGGATTTCATTATTAGCTGAAATCAGTTAGAGAAACATTGGAAAACCAGCTGTTTCTTCCTAGTTTGGGACTCTTCATCAGTACACAACCACCGCCAGCATTCGAACCCAAGACCTTCTAGTTACAAGGTGAACTCGTAGGCCATTAAGCCAGTGGAACCCGATCCAATGGCCGATGAATTCTAACTTCTAAATGTATATTATTGAATTGTGGACATTTCAGTCAGTAAAAAAAACCAAAAACGATTCAGGCCTCTGGAACAACTGTATCCACTCCTTGTTAATAAAATAAAAAGAAACACGTTTTGATTACCTGAAAAGCTTCTAATTCACTTTGAGCTTGTTTAAGTGCTGCTTCGATGACACGTTGTTTTTTAGTGAATGTCTCCAAATCTTTTCTTAACAACTCTAAGGCCTTTTTCTCTTCAGCCATTTCTTCTTCAATATCTAAACGCTTTTCTCTTATTAAACATGTGTGTTCAAAATCTTCTACAGGACATCCAGGCGGACAAGTGTCTAAATCCATGATGGCCACGTCTTCTGTACCACTTTCATCCTCCGATTCATCAAAACTTGATTCATCTGACGATGAAGACTCTTCTGATTGTGACTCGTCTAAAATTGTGATAACAAGAAACAAAACAAAGTAGATCGTTATTTTTTTTGAATGAGTGTGTTTATAGATGGTATTTAGACGGACGATAAGTGTTGCTCACAACCACTTAAATATCAAATAATGTGTGTCCAAGTTAATCTGCACTTCATTCACTTATCTAGGGAGCATTGTCTCAACTACAGGCAGGTGGAACGGACGAGGATGTCAAATCGAGAATCGGGAAGGCGAGAAACACATTCATCAACCTCAAAACAATCTGGAAATCTTCGTCACTCAGCCTGTATCAACAACAAAATGATTCGGATTTTCAACACAAACGTCAAGTCAGTCAGTTCTTCTATTCGGATCAGAATTTTGGCGGGTCACAAAGAATATTTCCAACAGCCTGTTGCACACCTTTATCAACAGCTGTCTTCGCTTTATACTACTGAAGATCAGATGGCCGGAAAGAACAAGAACCAACAAGAAACTATGGGAACAAACAAAACAAGAACCAATCGCTCAACAAATATGCAGGAGAAAGTGGAGATGGATTGGACACTCACTGAGGGGGCCACTGGGTGACATCGCGCGTCAGGCCAACGCTCGAGTGGAACCCGAAAGGGAAGCGGTGAGTGGTGACATGGAGGAGATTGTGTGAAGAGGAGTTGAAACAGTATGGGCTAACATGGATGCAGGTGAAAAGTACAGGAGAAGACAGAAGCAAGTGGAGAAGTGCAGTTGAGGTCATATGTTCCACTAGGAACCCAAAGGAACAATAATAATAAGTTAATCTGCATTTCCCTCCAAATAATTATGTTGGCTGAAATGCTCAGAGTCCCTGTTGACGCCTCAGCTCCTAGTACGCAGGCTTCAACAACGTTCAAGGATTAAAATGGTGTCAGGTAAACTGATAATGGCTAGCATTGAAATCCGGGATGAGCATTTCTTTCTATCTATGACTAGTCAGCTGGATAAGGTTTTGGCCCTATGTGAAGTACAGTGATAAAATGGTGTTTACAACGCAATTTAACTTCCGACTGACAGAAGACTATCGAGCTAGTCTGTAGTTTTTAGGCATAACACTAACAATTTCACTGTGGATAACATTTTATTTTTTGATGAAGTCTCACAATGTGTTATACTGTATTATCTTGCTGATAACGGCGTTCCAAGTACAGTTTATTACTGCCACTCGTAATCATATCAAGCTGCTTATTCACACAACTTTCCAGCTTCATTTATATAATTCCATTATTTCTCATCTCTTCATTCGATTGTTAATAACATTTTCCATATTTCTGGTATGAATGATGGCTCCTTCCTATTGCACGTATTGAGTGTAGATTCTATAAACAAAGATTCCGTAATCAACTCCACTTTCTCCATCTATCTATATTACTTTTTAGAATTTTAAGCCTCTCCCCTCTGCTTTGTGTGTTTGTGTGTCAGTGCATAAAGTGCGATTATTATTGTTTCCTTTAGTTCCTAAAGGAATATAGGGCTTCAGCCACACGTCTCCATTGCATTCGATTCTCCGCCAACGCTATCATCTGATTCCACGTCTACCTACATGCTTTCACCATCTCCTCTTCAAATGACCTCCTCCATGTCACTCCACCCTCGCACTGACGACCAAGTCGCTGCTTCCCATTCGGGTTCCACTCGAGTGATCGCTTCGCGCGTGATGTCACTCACTTGATGGTGTGTTTTCTCAGAGTATGACCAGCCAGTCCACCTCCATTTCTTCCTAAATATTTGTTGCGCAATTGGTTCCTGCTGGGTTGGTTCGTTCTTTGTCTGAGTTCCCTACCTGTCACTGATCTTTTCTGGCCGGGCATCTCATCTTGGGTAAGATTGAGCGAAGACAGCTGTTGATGAAGGTTTGTAGTTTGTTCGAAGTGCCGTTGGTGACGCGCTGGCCAAGTCTCTGATCCATATAGTAAGTAGCACTGACTTCACATTGGAGGTGAAAATCCCAATCTTATTTTCATTTTCATACTCCGTGCTGAGCGTTGGTCTCCACACAGACTTGAGAGTAATGAGAGATTGCTAGCGTTTCTTTCCTGATCCTCGCTGCTTTGATATCCTCATCAATTCCGCCTGTCTGTGGTTGAAACGATGCTTCCCAGGTAGGTGGGTAGGTAGATAGGGGAAGGATGCTGCTTCTTTCAGACTTCTCCCATTTATGCTGGCTGATTGTTGTCTGTTGTTGTTGAGATTGTTGGGCTTTCTTTTTCTAAATTACTCATCTTAGCAAGTCAAGGGTTAGCTTTGATATAACTAGTCTTTATGCTAACAACATACCGGTCAATATGGCCTTAGAAGCAGTTAGAAGAGAACTAATCGCTAATCGTGAACGTAGTCATAGGACTAAGCTGCCGACTGAGGAAATTATTTTAGCAATTCAATTATGTCTCATGTCTACTATCTTTAAATTCCAGTGTAAAATATATAGACAAACAGATGGTGTAGCAATGGGACGGATCGCCAATATCCCCTATCGTAGCAGATACATTTATGGACAGCTAAGAAAATATTGCTCTTAATACATTCACCTAATCCTACTCCAAAAATATGGTGGAGATATTGGATGTTCGTGTATCTATATATGCTTGATTTGTAAGGATTAGAGTTTGACCACGGATTGACAACCAGTTAGAGAACCATTGGAAAGCCTGCAGAGAGTATTGGACAGTTGATGATTCCCAAACTAGACTGATGAAACAGCTGTCCAGTATACTCCGGTCCAGGTTATTAGTGGTTCTCTAACTGATATCGTAATCCGTGGTCATACTCATAAAAGCTTAACAAATTTATTTGACTCACATTCATACAGCTAAAATTTCAGAGAAATAAAAGGCAAAAAACCAGAAAAGATTTTTTAAAAAAGATATTTATACTTACCAGAATGAAATACTTCTTGCTTTTTACGTTTAATTCGTTTTTTAAATACTTTTGTAAGAAATTCAGCAAATTTATGTGAATCACTTATATTGGCTTTAAATTCTTCATGAATTTGATGTTCACGTTGGGCGAGACGTTCTAATTCTTTCTTTTTCTGTTCAATTTTCGCTGTGACTTCATTCACCTATGAATAGTAAGATGGACGGACAAGTGAAAGTTGTTAAAAAATATATATATATTGTTTTCCTTCAAGTTCCCCAGTGGGACACACGGTAGCTCCAAGCTAGTGGCTTGAAGTTTCTGTAGCAGTGTTTATTATTTTACAGGATGGGGTTGCTAGCCTCATGCCCAACCTTTCCTCTTCACCAACATTATTTCAGGCTTAACGAGGTAAAGGAGTGTGCCGGCCGGGGTTCGAACCCCGGACATGTGCATGGTCGGCGAGCGTCCTAACCGCTATACCACCGACGCACTGGTGCCGGAACCCGGGATTTTTATTTGGTCTCACAGAAATATTCAACGATAGGCGGCTGCACTCCAATTAAAACTATGCGCTATGCATGAATGACTACATTTGTAGACCCACAGATATAACTGAAGGATTATGAAAACAATGACTAAAGAAAATAAGATGCACTGTGTCTCGGATAGCTAAGTGATCCAAGTAGGCCCCTCAGGAATGGGTATCATGCTGTGCGAATGCATAGGAGATACGAATACAGGCACAGGGAAAACTTGCTCACTGGTTTCAAAGTAGAAAAACTTTGCACAGATGTGCAACAGTTCAAGTTGTAACGCTCCCTCCATGTAGCACACAAAGCAAGACAGAAGAGAGTAAAGACAGACTTAACAAAAGAGAGATAATAAACAGAAATGTAAGGCTAAAGAATAGTTCTATAGAAGAACAATAGAATTTTACTGGATATGACAAATCACAGGGAGTGAATACATCTCTGCCACTGAGAAAGATTTTCAGCCATGCCACCAATTGTCTCAAGCCTTTATTAGTTTTAACCGTCCCTAGAACCCTAACCAGGTTTGGTGTGCTTTTGCAAGTGTGTGAGCAGTTGTTACAACCTGGCTGCCCACACCGTGGAAATTGATTTTTTCTTGGGGTACCTGAAACATAAAGAGAATTAGCGTCGCCTAACCGCAGAGCCCAGAGGACAACTGCTTGAGGCCGGTCACACACGGCCTATCTGAAATGGCTTTTTGATTTGGTTCCCTATTAGTAACCCACCACCGGTTATGGACCAACGTAGGGTAAGTGGGGATGTACAATTTTTAAGGTTGACCCTTTCTAACCCCCTCTCCCCGGAGTGAAGAGACATCATAGCCGGCTGGTATGTGGTCATCTTAGGGAATCACCTTACTGCTTTTACATCTCTATTCCCCAGTAGTGAGACTTTGTCCACAGACCCACAGTATAGTGTTAAAAATATCTTACACTATGCCGGCAACTACTTTTAGTCTAACCGCTATCCTAACAACCTTCCTGGTATGGTAGGACCAGCAGGTATAATATATCCAGCCAGTATAGCTTGTTGGGTCATTGCGATATGCAAGCCTGACCAAAAAGCCAAGGTAACAGTTATCGGTCAGGGATAGTTGAGAATTATCTGTGGGCTCCTTTTTAAAACACCACAAACCCTCGATTGGGGCCAATTTTGGCAGATTTCTTTCTAGCCAAGATTGGAAATGGTCCATTGAGACAAGTAATAGAGAAAACTGATTCTTATTTTCGCTGTGTTGATGATACGTTTATTATTCTTGATGTGAAAGCTAACAAGAATGAAATGTTAATACAATTTAATGATGCACATCCATCGCTCATCTTCACTTGTGAAGAAGAACATGATGGTGGATTACATTTCCTTGACGTCCAATTGAGCAGAAGAGAGGATGGTTCACTCAACAGAAATGTCTATAGAAAACATACATCTGTAGGACAATAGACACATTTCCTCAGTTTTGTACCAATCCGATATAAAATCAATTTGGTCAGATGCCTTACGAATAGAGCAAGACGTATCTGTACAGATGACTCTCTAGAAAATGAGCTAGGATATATCAAAAATACGCTGGTCCAAATGGGTTATCCTAGTAGATTTGTTAGGAGACACATGAATACCAGGTACAACAAAGAAAAATTGATAACAGTTAAAAAGAAAGAACTGTTCATGAAACTTCAATTTAATAGGGACGTGGCTAGTGAAGTCTTACATCTGAGATTATCGAGAGCGATAAAACGGACTTATACTGCCGCCACCCTTTGTTTGTCACTTTCCAGCCGACCAATTGTGATTGCTTAAGTGAAAGACAAGCTACCCAGCTGTGCTACTTCGATGTGTATCTATAAATTTAGTTGCTCCCGTGGAGAGAGCTAGCTATATAGGGCGAACAACTAGACAGTTTAACAAACGCATTAATGAGCATCTTCCTTCATGGTTCGGAAAAGGTCAAATAAAATCCATACGAAGTTCTATTTTGGCTCATTTGATTGATAGCGGTCACCAAGTGGACAAAAATAGTGCTTTCAAAGTTATCTATCGTATTCCATCGAGTCTTTCGAATGGAATCAGAACCCGTCTTTTACACCTAGCCGAAGCTATGGGAATTCGAGAGAACAATCCTAGTCTTTGCATACAAAAGAAGTTTGTTCTACCTTTGTCTCTCCCTTGACCTAGGTGAACTGTACTCAAAACCCTCCCACCCTTTCTTATTTTCCACCTACTTCGAACTTTTATAATATTTATTTAAACTCTGATTATCGTTCCTCTTCACCTTTTAAGATTTGACCCAATTTATTTATACACTTATATACATATACAATCTTTGTTATTCTTATCACCTACATAAACCTTATTATCAATATTTTGTTATCATTATAATCATCGTTATTAACTACGTTCAAAACATTTACCACATTATTATTATTAAGATTAAATAAACCAAACGCTTAAGTTAGGCATAAAATTTGCAAAACACTAGATTTTCTGTTAAATAGTTGGAGGCAACCGTGAGGAAGCTCTGGTCTTAGACTAGTACTTCTTGGCACTTGAAACTTTGGAGGCACTCATGTTCTATCTGGAATTCAAACCCACCTTGGTCCGGCGCTGCAGTCACAGACGTCACCAATGAGCTATCCGGGAACATATTTCCTTTAAGGTTTCACATACGCCTTGCTGATAAGCGTCAACAAGTACAAAATCTGTGTCTGGGGTTTCTTAACGATTTGTCTCTAATAATGCATTATGAATTCAAAATGTAATAAATCATATACAGCAGATACCATTTAACTAAAAGAAGATAATTACTCTAGAACGTAGATTCATCAAAAGAGACAAATTTCATTAGAAATCAATAATTACTTCCATGAGTTTCTCTGTAAGAATTTGATTTATTTCAAGCTTGACCACGGATTGAGATCAGTCAGAGGGCTACTAAAAACCAACAGGGAGTACTTGACAGTTGTTTCGTCCCAGTTCAGGATTCATCGGCAGTACCCACACACACAGCCAGGGTTTGAACCTAGGAACTTTCGGTTTCATGGCACGATCGTAGACCATCCAGTCACTGGGAACCGATTTGATGGCCCGTATACCAATAAGTGACTTTTTAGCGCGACCACCAACCATCGTCATCCGCGAGTATTTTTCCACACTGTCTACCACCTGATGGACCCCAGTGGTCACAAATTCTCACTAGAACACCAGGCCACTTCGTCTGGTAACCAGTTACTAGCGAGTACAGACTAATTTTCAAGTGGTACTTTGACTGCTCACTAGTGACTGGCTACAGGATGAAGTTGTTTGACTAGCTAAGTTCTGACTAAGTTCTTTTTGTACTGGATTGGAACAAAACTCTTGAAATGCATGTACTGTCCTATCCATGAGGACTTTCTAAATATAGATCTTTCGATTGTGCCATCATTCATTTTCGCCAGAGAAACGTCTAGGAATTTAATAGTATCGTTTTCCTCGTGTTCTACTGTGAAATTGAGATTTGGATGGCATGAGTTGAATTTTATCAGCATGTCTTCGGCTTTTGATCTGCTTCCACAGACAATAAAAATGTCATCAACATATCTTAGGTATAGATCCGTTTCTTGTATATGTTGTTGCAGGGTACCGGTTTCTAGGCGTGACAAGAATAAGTCAGCGAAATGTGGTCCCAAGGGGCTTCCCATTGCGACACCATCAACTTGACGGAATAAACACCCGTCGAATTGGAATTGGACATTTTTAGTACATAAAAGTAACAATTTCCTCAATTCCAACGTTGGAATGGGTATGTCTTCAGCTTCTTAACATATGAAGTCAATAGTCTCAATGACTGGCACATTTGTGAAGAGGGAGGTAACATCGAAAGAGACTAGATGTTTATCAGATACGTTGAAATCTTTGATTTGCTCGACAAACTGGAATGAATCAGAAACGATATACTTCCCGAAGCGTTTCCGCAGGGGCTGCAACATTTCACATAACCACTGTGCTAATTTGTGGTATGATGAGTTTATCATCGGGAGTATGGGTCTTAATGGCACTCCTGGTTTGTGTATTTTAACAGGCCCGTATAGTTTTGGGATTTGTGACCCGATCGGCTTGATATTTCTATATGTGTTTACATCAATGTATTTATTTTTGAATAGTTGGTGTAGCTGCTGTACAATTTTCTTTTCGATCGACAACGTTTGATCTTTTGCTTGACTGTCCAATTTGAATTTAGATTCATCGGAGAGAATTTGATGCATTTTTTCGAGATAATCTGTCTTATTCATTAGCACTACGCTTTGTCCTTAATCAGCTTGTAGAATAACAAGATTATTGTCTCTTCGGAGCTTGTTTAATGATCTCCAGTATTCTTTGGTGATGTGCGACTTTTGATTCGTTGGCATGATTCGAAATTGGTGAGCAATATCAACCATCTTTGCTTTCAACCAGCTTGAAATCAGCTGAGTTCAAAGTGCCAAAATCCTAAATAACAAAGCATCTTGTGGATTACGGGCATGATATCGACGCAGTCAAGTCATTCACCATTGTCAGCAGACAAAGAAACAAGAAGATGCTTGCAATTGCAGAGGCTTGTGCAATTCGAGTTTACAAACCAGGTCTCTGTGTACAAAAGGAGATGGTCGTGACTCTGAATCTACCATGGTAATACGTTTTACTTATAACTCTACCTCTTATTATTATTATTTTATTATTACTATTATTATTCTCATTATTATTATTCTTGATTCATTTAAAACTATCCTTTATCAGTAGCATTATCTTAACCCACTTCAACACTATTATTATTATTGTTATATTATATTATTGTTATTATAACTATTACTATTGACATCCCTCTGGTTGCAATTCTTGTTAAATTCTCTAATGTCTAATTGTTTATCTAAGTGATGTAATTGAAGCGTAATGCAATTTATCTTAATTTTGATCTCCCATACTCTCTCTCCCCTTATCTAATTGAACATGACCTGGAAAAAACATTCGCACCTGTCTTTCTGCATGACTAATTCAATGTAGTTTATTTACTTATCAGTCCTATATCTCCCAATGTAATTTCAAAACTATATACATCCGTGTATGTAAAGTATTCAGTCCGTCCTATATCTCCCAATGTAACTTCAAAAGTATATATCCGTGTATGTAGAGTATTCAGCTGACGAGTTCTACCGAAATTTGATGAATTCATTAAATCCTGCTTTAATAACCTTTATTGCTTGTTTTATTCGGGTCAGCCAATCTAGATTTTGCATGCGTAACACATGTCCTAACCATCTCAGTCTCTTTACCTAGCACTCGATATAATACTCACCACATGCAATTACACACAAACATGCATATAATAGGATGGGATGGAATAAGATGACAGTTTTGCAATCTAATTTAACAGCAGGGTGGAGGGAGAGATTAATAACGTAAGCTTTATTCATCATTGAATCAGCTGCAAATACTCGCAATAGGATTGATTCAACACCTGTCCATCCAGATATTTGGAGAATTCTACTACCCCTAAGACGACAACCAGGAAAGAATAAGGAAAACTATAAAATGATAGCTATGATTATGGACAATAATACATTGTATTCCAAAATGTGTTTATTATTCATCAAAGTATTATTGTATTCACACGACCTGATAACATACTTTTAACAGCCTCCCACCCAACACGTTCTTAATTACAGTTTTCTATATATGTGATCTAGGTGTTGCATCCTTTCAGTTGCATGTGTTGATTTGAAGAATAAAGGTTCCGCGACTAACCTCTCTTTCTCTCCCTCTCTGTGCCTAATTACAGTGCTGTTTAATAGGTCTAAGCTACATTACAGAGAAGAGAGCAAAAGGTTCAACAAACTGATATCTAAGTATTGGTTTGTAGGGATTTGGTTGATTGGTTACAGGATTTCATCATGAGCTAACATTGGTTGTTAGAGAACCATTGGAAAACCTGTGGGGAGTACTGGATAGCTGTTTCCAGTGGGAATTCGTGAACAGTAGGGTGCAGCAGGTCAGTGTGAGGACAAATACTCGCCGAGGACATTGGCTAGCGGTTGCGCTTCATCGTGAATTGGCAGAAGTTAGAATTCATGGACTGGCCATTTGATCGGGTCCCAGTGTCTTAATGGTCTACGAGCTCACCTTGTAACCAGAAGGTCCTGGGTTCGAACCCCCCGCTGTGGTGGGTGCGTACTGACAATAAAGAGCCCCAAACTAGGACGAAACAGCTGTCCAGTACTCCTAGGTTTGGATGATGCCAGTCGTACTAAAAACCATGAGTTAGTGGAAGTTAGATAGAATTCATGTGTTGGCCACTAAGACCGGTCACACTGGCTGAATGGTGGACGAGTTCGCCTTGCAACTCTGCAAGGTTTTTGGTTTGAAACTCAGTGGGTAACTGCTGATGATGAGTCCCAAACTAGGACGAAACAACTGTTCAGTACTCCCTGGTTGGCTTGCAATGTTTATTATTCAACTCTAATTTTCCCATGGCTTGAATGGACTAAAATATTCGGACGCTACAACGATGTCTGAGGAAATAACCTGACGGTGACTAGCAGTGGAATCCGGGTTGCATATTTCTGCTTATTTAGGACTTAATGCATGTCTCAATTGATAATTTAGGCACCGGAACAACTGTAATGTCTTTCCAAGAAGCAGACAGAACATTTGTACAAAGTGTTACTTTAAAGATATCATTAATAGAATGATATATAATATCTGCACATATTCTGAGGATAGAAGCGGGCACACAGTTTGAACTTAGAGACTGGGAAGGCTCCAAGGTATAGAAACATCATCAAAAAACCAGAACAAATACAAAAAATCTGAATAGGAGACATTCAGCGAAGAGACTCTTTTCGACGGCGAATTCATTCACGCGTTTATATCCAATTATTTCGTGTGTGTGTGTGTGTACATGAGGTTTGTCAAGTTTAGATAATTAATTAGGTGATCCAAGAATGATCTTATATAGAAACAAGGTTAATTAGACAGCAACTCAAGTAAGATTGAGTTAGTTAGTAAGTTAGATGACGTAATATAATTGACTAAAATGTTTCAACTTAGGTCAGGATAACCACAGAGGTAATAACAGGTAGTGACTGAGTAGAGGTGGGGTAGAGAATAATGCAATTCAAATTAGAACTAAAATTGAGCAAATAAATTGCATGACGTAATAAAAATGACTAGAAATTGAGCGTTGGTCAAGTCAGTAACAGTGGTAGTGAGGTGTAGAAATTAAATCAGGTGGGGGTAGAGAACAGGAAAGTTGAAAATGTAAAATATTACAATTGAAAAGACAAAATAATACTAATGAAGAGACAGAAAGAAAGAAATAGAATTTACCTATCGGGTATTAAGACAGATTACATCCATTTCAGGTGTAGTGACTGAACGAACTTCTTCTGTATGCAGAGTTCAGGACTTAGCAGGTGAATTGCCATTGCTTCTACAGTTTGAAGAAGTTTGATTCGTACACTTTTAGGAGGACTGCTTCGTATACTGTAGACAACTTTGAAGTTTGTTTCGGGTACGGTTGGGTGTCCTGAATCTAACAGATGTTTTAAGATAGAGCTGTGGAGGGGGCATCGTTTTTCTCCTTTGTAAAACCATGCTGGTAAGTGTTCAGTGATACGTTTAAAAAGTGAACGGTGGGTACGACCAACATACCTGGCTCCACACGAGCAGGTAAATAGGCAGATACACACTGGTGAGGCCAGCAGTGATAGCTCATGCTTCACGTTAATGCGAATCATAGGTTTCTTGGAGAAGGTTCATCGTAGTTCAGCTGAGAAGAAGGTTTTCTTAAGTGAACGGAACAGTTGATTTTTCAGTGTTTCTCCATCGAGTTGAAGGTTCACGTGGAGTTTTTTCGAGGCGTTAAGCAAAGGCGGTTTTTTAGGTCTAGGACTCATGGATTTCGCAGTAAATTGTTCTGGGTAGCAACTCTTGACGAGGATTCTCTTGAGATTGTCCAGTTCTTCTTCTATGGTATCCGGGGTACAGATTCTGAGAACTCTGTAGCTTAGTGAACGGATCAGGTTTCGTTTGGTACCCAACTGTCCGTTCTACATCAACTTTCTGTAGATAAATCTTTTCAGTGTTCCGTCTTGTTCTCGTCTTGTTAGTTGAACATCAAGAAAGGATATTTTGGAGTTAGATTCTTTCTCAAACGTGAATTGAATCGCTGGGTGACAGTTGTTAAAGGAATTTTAAGATGTCGTCTAGATTTTCTACATTGTTGACGATAATGAAAGTGTCATCAACGTATCTCCTGTAAAATTCAGAGGTATCGATCATTTTCTCTAGGCACGTGTGACAGGAAGTTATAATTCATGGGCCACTAAAGGCGGATCCTAATGGATGAATAGTCTACGAGCTTGCCTTCAAAAAAGCGGGAGGTCCTGGGTTCGAAACCCCTTGTGTGCATGCTTCCGACGCGTCCTAACCTATGACGAAACGGCTTTCCACTCCTGGTCCGCTAACTTATATCACTCCGTCATTAAACTTGGAAAAAGAAATCAACATTCAACAAATAAACTCAAGGAAAAAAGCTGACCCAGTCTAACCTTTTGGTTAATTTCATGTTTCTCCTCTGATCGACTCTGTTTTTTCTCCGTTAAAACATGTTCAGATTTCTCGAATTCTTTTAACAAACGAAATTCATCATACAGCGTTAACTGATGCAGATCAGCTCTTTTCAGTAATACATCCAACTTGAATCGTGCATGTCTTAACAGACGTAATTCAGCGTCAAAACAACGAACAAGTCGACTTGCTGTTGCCAACAACATATCACGTTCATATTTAGCTCGAATGTATCTTTGTTTTTGTAGTTCAGTTTCCACATTGTTTATTGTTATAGTTTTCCTAGGTCGAATACCTCTTGGAATGTAACTGCCTTCACTGAATGAATTCAAGAAAAAAAGTAAGAAAGAGAAAATTATGAAGATTGATTTCTAGATACCTGTTGGAAATTTTAAAAGACTGACTACTTACTGGTGAACAAATAATATTCCCAATTTTCGATAACGTCTTCTTCATCAAGGATTGATTTGTAGGGTTCTTCTTTGACTGGTTACAGGATTTTACCATGAGCTGACTTCAGCTAGAGAACCAACGGAAAACCAGCTGGGAGTACTGCATAGCTAGCCGTTTCGTCCTAGTATGGGACTCTTCAAGAGTATGCAACCACCTATACAGTTTGAATTCAAGAACTTCTGGTTACAAGGTGAGCTAGAGCGTAGACCATTAAGCCATTGGCACCCAAATCAAATGGCAAATCCATGAATTTCAACTTCTGCCAATTCATGATATAACGCGACCCCTAGCCAATGTCTTTGGCAAGTACGCACTCAGGTGGACTCTCCAAATTATTAACTGGCGAATTAATAATTTAACCCGGCCAAGCAAACCACAAATACAACCGCAGTGAGCGAATGAATATTACGATGTCAGCAACAGAATACAAAAATTCTAATATAGGCTAACAGTATTCAGAGAAAGGAAACGCTAATGAAGTATGAGGAAAATAGTTTTACTATTTGAAACACTTACATGCTTCGTCCTGGTACGAGTCTCTTCACTAGTATGCACCCATTGGAGCTTGAATCCGGTACTTTCCGGTTACAATGCGAGCCTATCGACCATTAAGCTAGTGGGACCAAATAAAGTGGGGCAAACTAGGATGAAACAGCAGTTTAGTACTCCATGTTGGTTTCCCAATGATTCTCTAACCGATGTTAACACGTGACCCAGCCTGTAACCAATCGAATCCCTGTAAACCGACACTCAATAACTGAATATATTCATTAAGCAGTTTATATATTTCCTAACGATAAACTGGTCGGTGTTAAATGTGACAAGAAAGCTACACTTGGAACAACAGAATGCAAGAAACGGAAACCAAGGTACATTTTCAATTGATAGAACCGCTGTTTACATATGTACAGTTTATATTATTTAACCAATCACTGAGCGTGTGTGTTTTTGGTCTACATCAAACGACAAGAAATGGACTGTTCAAATATACATAGTATTCTGTTGCTAATGCCGTAGTGAACTGTTGAAATATGTGAGCATAACATTCCGTTCGTCCACACTGTCTGTATCGCACCACCACAATCGTCCCCCAGTCAAAACTTTCGACTGAACTCGGTTGTATCTTCTTAGTTCTGGCGGCTTTGTTAGCTTTTCTTGCTGTGTTGAGTTCCGGAGATCACTGCCGTTCACCTGCTTCTCTTTGTTTGCATTTCTGTTCGTATATACATGACTCCGTCTCACAGTAACCATGTATGGTCCTTGCCACAGTGGAAGCAGTTCACATGACCCTGGTTCACATATGGCGGTTGCCATCGTCCAACCTCTCAGCTGCGTTCCAAGTAACAGCCTTTTTGTTGACGGATCTTCAACGCCATTCAATTGCTCAACAGCCTCAAAGTCCTGCAAGAAGATCTATCTATATGTCTCCTTCAGAAACTGCGGGACATGAGCTGTTCATTTGTTGGCAGGCAGTGACAGCAAATGTAACAACAGAAGACAAGACATGAGAGCCAAGGTACACTTTTCATTGATCAAACAGCCGTTTATATACATCTATACAGTTTATATTCGTTATCAAATCACGGAATATACACATTTGATCAGAGGGAATAAAAAGACAGTTGCAGCGAAGAATATTTTCTTTTCAACGAAATCATCAACAAGGCTGTACATTCGTATATCTATAATAAATGGGTAGGAAAGTTCCAGAATAATTTCTGGTCAAGGGTCAAATTAATACAAAATTACAATTAGAAATTAAAATGCCATAATAAACAGGGGGATGGATAAAACTAAAACAAAGTAGCATCATAATTACTGAGGAGATTGACATATTGTGCAATTAGGGTTTAGAAATGCAGAAATAAAAAAACAATAGACAGGATGTTTAGATAAAAAATCTAGTGGGATCATAACTAATGTGACGAATAACTGTTTATGTAATAAGGGATTAAATATGTAGAAATAATAAAATGACAAAATAGACAGGAATTTCGGATATGAAAATATGGTAGTGCAAATAGGGATTAAGAAAAACTTAAAAATAACATGAAAAAAAAGAAGTTTGGCTAAGAAAGTCAATGGGATAGTCACTATAAGAATAACCTATTTATGACGGCCGTGGCAGGGCAAGGGTTGGACGTATTTCTTTTGGATACGTAGCGGGGGATTTAGCTTTTGGATAGCTACTGCCTCCGCAATGCCCAGATGTCTTAATTGTACTCCCTTTGATAGGTTTGATCGAATCTTGTATATTGTTTTGAAGGATTTTTTGAATGGCGCTGAATGTCCTGAATTGACCAGATGTCCTGTCACTGAACTATATACACGTGTTTTCGTCCTCCTTTTACTAACCAGGCTGGATGGTGTTGACGAGCGCGTTTTTCAAGTTGGTGCGTGGTACGGCCGATGCACCCAGCTCCGCAAGAGCAAGTAAATTGGTATATGCACGTTGGAGTGGCCCATGCGACAGTTCGTCTTTCGCGTTCTGGTTGAATAGTTTCTTGTAGGAAAACGTTAATCATAGGCTAGCGGCGAAGTACGTCTTCCTCAGAGATTTACAGAGGCGTTTACGAAGGATTTCTGCTTCAGTGTTCACTTTGAATTCTAGATTAAGCAGAAGTATCTTCGAACAAGTTCAATCAGTCCCGAAGAACCGCTGTTTATATATATCTATACAGTTTATACTCGTTAATCAATCACTAAGCTTGTGATTTCGGTTTTTACATAAAGCAACATGAATTAGAATGTTCAAATATACGCATATAATATTCTGTTGCTTATGCCGTATTGAACTGTGGGAATACATATTTGATTAAAACAATTAGTCCCTTTGATAAATTTGAATAAGGCATTTAGAAGAGAAATTTCGCGAGATAATAACATCGTCATTTCGTAGTTTCTTTACAACCACTTTACAACTAACATGCTTAACAATAATAAAATAAAGTTCATGACAATTACTCAGTTAAATAAAAATCAAAAAAGTACATACTAATGACCAATTATATTTAGATAGGTCATGTTGTCCATGATAGGCGAAGATTGAAGTCTATTCCATATTAGTTTGTTTATTAGATATATCACACACAGTGAGTGAAACAGTATTATTATTTACTGCATGACGTTTCGAACAAAATTTATCGCTCATAATCATATCAATTGTAATCACACGACTTTGAAACTTGAGTTTTATAGTTTTCACCATTCTCTCCTATTTGTCGTCCTAGGGGTAGTAGAATTTTCCAGATATCTGCCTGGACAGGTGTTGAGTCATTCCTATTGCATGTATTTGCAGTTGATTCGATAAACAAAACTTCCGTTATCAATCTCTCCCTCCACCCAGCAGTTACATTAGATTTTAAAACTGTCATCCTATCCCATCCATCCTATTGTATGGTTGTGTGTGACTGCATGCAGTGCTATAGTTGAACTATTCTCTAGATTTCTTATCTTATTCGGGTCAGCCAATCTAGATTTCGCTAAGTTTTTATGTTTGGCTAGTCTGACTGCCCCTGTTCTACTACTTTGACCTATGTATTTGAACTTGCAATAATTTCAGCAGGGTATTAGATAAACTAAATTGTTTTGTTTTAAAGGCTCCAAAGGCAGGATCCTTTAACCAACAAAGCTGGTTTCTGATTGAGTTTGTGGGTGATTTGAATGCCAGCCACTTTTATTCCTGCCTTGTTAAGAATTCTGCGTAAGGCTTCCGAGGTTCCTTCCTTGTATGGAATTAATACTGATGATTTAGATTGTTTATTGTCGGTGTCGTCATTAATATTATTATTATTATTATCACTATTATCATTATCATTGTTATTGTTATTATCACTATCGCTACTATCATTATTTATTTTATTTTAACATTTCCTTACATATTTCTTGATTAATTTATCCGGGTAATTATTAAGTTTCAAGGTTTCTTTTATGTGTATCAGTCCCTGTTTTGGATTTTCTTTGGTACTACTTACTTTTCGTGCTCTGTCATTTAAACATTTCACCAATCCTATTTTCACTGACATAGGATAGGATGATCGGAAGTCCAAATATCTGTTTGAATGTGTGCGTTTCCTGTAAGCACACTAGTCTGTTTAACTTCCCATCTTCTTTCCTTTTTCATGTTGCAATCTAACATTGGAAGCTCACCCCCTTCCTGACTTTCCAATTCATAAGTGAACTGAATTGCTTCAACCTTCGATTTGATGTGCTCGATGTGTGATATATCTAATAAACTAACTAATATGTAATTACCGACTACCACAGTGCCCAAGTTTTACACATATAATAATAATTGAAATCTATTGTTTTTTTACACACTGTTTAGGCTGTATGTGATTAATCCAAAGTGCCTCCATCACCTTTAATAACCAACCTTGAATTAGAGTTATGTGATGAAATAATTGTGAAACAGTCATTAATATTGATTTTGTGACCTGACATTAATAAGTGTTTTCCAATGGATGATGCTTTCTATTCAGATTAATCGCATTGGGATTTTCTATATGATTTAGTAGGCATTTTGGAACATGTTCTTTTTGACGACCACATTGGAACATTCTGTTGGTTCTACCTATATAGGTGTGTGTCACCGCAATTGCAGGTGAACTTGTAGATACGGTATGAAGTAGAGTCCACAGAGTTTCGTCCTTTAATCGTAGGTACAGGGATGGAAAATGTTCGGCATGTGAGAGAAAGAGATGTGGCGGCGTAGAATGTGCGTCCGATGGCTGATCGAAGTCTTTGAGCTGTCAACTGCATATCTGATTAATAAAGATAGCTTTCTTTGGTACAGAATCTGTCCTTTGTAGATGTGGTCTATCCCTACTGTGACAAATGATAAAGTTTTCCAGATAACCATTAGCTAATAAAACTGAATGTATATGTCGAAGCTCATCCATCAATGTGTCACTCGTGCATATTTTTCGGGCCCTTGAGAACAAACATTTCACTAGGAAACGTTTATACTGGATAGGAACAAAACTGATAAAATGAAGATATTGTCCACTTCATGTCTGTTTACGAAAAATAGATCGCTAAATCGTTCCATCATCTATCCTGGTCATTGTAATATCGAGGAAACCAAGTTTGTTATTCGACTGGAGTTCGGAAGTCACTCGAATATTTGGATGAATATGATTAAATAGGGTAATAAAGTTTTCAATAGATTTACTATTATTACCAATAATGAGAGTATCATCTACATAACGTTTATACAGCATAAATTCTCCAAGCATACCTTGCATTTGTTTCTCCAATTAATCTGAATAGAAATCCACCTTCATCATCCATTGCAAAGCACTTGTTAATGTCAGGTCACAAAATCAATATTAATGACTGTTTCACAATTATTTCATCACATAACTCGAATTCAAAGTTGGTTATTGAAGGTGATGGGGGCACTTTGGATCATTCACATACAGCCTAAACTGTTTGTGCAAAAACAATAGACTTCAATCTTCGCCTGCCATGGACTGACTACTTGACCCATGTAAATATAATTGGTCATTAGAATGTACTATTGTTTTTTATGTAATTGTCATGAATTTATTTTATTATTGCGGTGAACCATGTTAGTTGTAAAGCGGTTATAAAGAAATGACGATATCATCTCCCGAAATTTGTCTTCTAAATGCCTTATTCATATATATGAGAAATGCTGCATGCCAAGTAATCCACACGAGACGGAAACCCACGGAATCCTTCGAAGAAGTGAAGACGGGAGTAAGACAAGGCTGCCTACTATCGCCAATGATTTTCCTGATTGCAGTAGATTGGATAATGCGACAGACAGCTCGCAGCGAGGAAACAAGCATAAAATGAACCCTAACGAAAAAACTTGGAGGATCTGGACTTCGCCGATGATATTTGTCTGATTTCCCACAAACTGGAAGATATGCAAGCGAAAAACAACAAGTTGGCAGAAGAAGCATCCAGCGAAGATAGGAAGGACTTCAGGTGAACATAGAGAAGACAGAGGTGATGAAGATTCCCGGGCAACACCACCAACAGCAACAACAACAGACAATAATCAGCATAAATGGGAGGAACCTGAAACAAACAACCTCCTTTACCTACCTACCTACCTGGGAAGCATCGTTTCAACTACAGACAGACGGAACTCATGAGGATATCAAAGCAAATATCGGAAAAGCAAGACAAGCTTTCACTACTCTCAAGTCTGTGTGGAGGTCAACAGCACTCAGAATCAAAAATAAGATCCGGATTTTCAACTTCAATGTGAAGTCATTGCTACTCACTATACGGATCAGAGACTTGCACTGCGCGTCATAAAGAGCATCTCAAACAAACTACACACCTTCAGTAACAGTTGTCTTTGCTCAATACTCAAGATCAGATGGCCAGGAAAGATCAGCAACAGAGATCTCTGGCAATGAGAGAACCAACCAGGAACCGATTGTGAAACAAGTAGGCAGGAAGAAATGGAGATGGATTGGCTGGCCATACTCTGAGGAAACCATCAAGTGACATCACTAGACAAGTGGAACCCGAAAGGGAAGTGGCGAGTTGGTCGTCAGTGCAAGGGTGACTTGGAGGAGGTCATTAATGAAGAGGAGGTGAAAACGTGTGGGCAGACTTGGAGCCAGGTGAAGACTCTAGCAGAGAAGTGAACGCAATGGAGACGCACGGCTGAAGCCCTTTGTTTCTGTAGGAATTAAAGGAAAAAATAATAATAATATGAGAAAATAATATTCCATTGAAACACACTCACACTCTGTTGTCTGTATCACACCATCCATCACACACTCACCTTGGATTGGTTTCCAGATCACTCATTAGTGATATCACCTCCATTTTATCAGTCATATCTGTTTTATCGATTAGATCAGCTTCAAATTTCTGAATATGACAAGAATTCACCTTGTCTGGTCTTATCGGTCGAGATAGGCATATTTTAATTAAATTATTTCCATCTTGTGATTGTTGTTGTTGTTGCAGTTGTTGTTGTTGTTGTTGGTCTATCGGATGATCGTCTAAAATGACATTGTCATTCACCTGACATACTGAGATTTCATTAAAAGTTTTATACTGTGAATAATATTTTATCAGTGAAAATAATTTACCAGGATAATCATTAGGAAAAAGTTGATATATATTCACAGTTAAATAATGTAATGGGAACCAGACAATTGATTTGACAATTTGTTCACTTTCACAGAAATCACTCGTCATATCTGGTTCAGTACGTAGACTTCTTTCTGAGGGTAGAATTGATTCCGTGAAGGAGACTTTTGTGCCTGATGACTTCTGTATTAGTGGAGTAAAAAAGAAAAAAATATATAATGATTTTAGAAATACCCCTACTTATGAATTATCAAAACATTTAGCTCTAATATTATGCCCCATTAGAAATCGTTCAAACTCTAGACTAACCAACTAATTCACATGAGATGAAAAATGATCTAAATAACATTCAACTAGAGAATGATGAAACAATGGTTAGTTTTGATATAACCAGTCTTTATACTAATATACCAGTCAATATGGCCTTAGAAGCAGTTAAAAAAGAACTAACTGCCGATCCTGAACTCAATCATCGGACAAAGCTGCCCATTGAAGAAATTATTTTAGGGATTCAGTTATGCCTCACATCTACTACCTTTAAATTCCAAGGCAAAATATATAGACAAACTGAAGGTGTAGCAATGGGATGCATCACCAATATCCCCTATCGTAGCAGATATATTTATGGATAGGTGGGAAAATAGTGCTCTCAATACATTTAATCCTACTCCAAAAATATGATGGAGATATGTGGATGACATTTTCACACACAGTGTTAAAAACAGAACATATCTCTCTCTAGCTTCTTCACACATGTAAACTCACTAGTAGAGGGAATAAAATTCACATTTGAAGCCGAAAATGAACAAGGAGAATTAGCTGTGATGTTAGATTGTAAAATAAAATAGAAGGCAAACTACACACTGGTGTTTATATAAAACCAACGCATTCTAATAGATATTTAGACTTTAATTCATCTCATCCTCTAACTGTTAAGGCTGGCTTTGTTAAGTGTTTAACAAACCGAGCAATGGCACTAAGTAGCATAAAAAAAGACCTAAATGATGAAATAAAACAGATAGAAGAGGCGTTGGTGTTAAATAACTGTCCTTTAAAATTCATTAGGAAGATTGAAAAAGGCCAAAAGAAAAAGAATTGTGAAACTATTAATAATAACATAAATAAGAGAGAATATAAGTCATCCACTGGTATACCATATAAGGAGGGGACATCTGAGACCCCACGTAGGATTCTTAATAAAGCATAAATTAGAGTGGCATTCAAACCTGCGAACTAACTCAGAGACAAGCTCTGTAGGCTAAAGGACCCTGTAGGTTGACCCAATTAGACAAAATAATATAATTTACAAAATACCCTGCAATGACTGTGAGTTTATTCAACTACATAGGTCAAACTAATAGATCAAGGGCAATCAGATTGTCGGAACATAAGAATTTATCTAAGGTAAGAATGATTGACCCTTCGAAGATAAGTGATATAGAGAAAAACTCAGCAATTGCACTGCATTCATTAACACACAACCACAAAATAGGGCAGGCGGGACAAAGTCAAAATTCTTAAAAGTAATCTAGGTGGTTGGAGAGAGTGATTGATTACTGAATCCTGCATGGTTCATCGAGTCTACACCCAACACAACACATACAACAGAAATGACGCAATGCAAATACCAGAAATATGGAAGATATTATTACCACCAGTCAGTCAAATCAGAGGAGGATAATAAATAATCTCAAAATTCTATTTTAATTCAATTCAAGCACATCATAACATTCTAACAAGTTACTTATTATGACTATAAAAACACTAGTCTTATTTCCCATCTGATTGTGATTGATCAATAACACTCATATTATTATTTCTGAATGTACATTATCCCATATTGATTTTTATTCAAGTGTCTAATCATCAATTCCACACATGTATATAAATGAAGCAAGAAAGTTGTGTAAGTGAGTCACTTGATATGATTGTGAGCAGTAGTTTGTGGTCGAAAAGTGGTCATCATTTAATATTACTGTACTGTATAACACTGTGTGATTTATCAAAATAAAATCTTATCCATAATGGAGTTATACTCTACCACCACAGTGCCTAAGTTTTATACTTATATCAATAAAGAAAAGTAAAATAATTGAATGAAAATTCTACAACAGTTAAGTGATCAAACATGCAATTAAGTTGTGTCATCAAAAAGGGGGCTGGTTGGTTGAATTGAGAAGCTTTCAACGTCTCCCCTTCTGGACAACATCCACCGTAAGCTCAAGTTTTAGCGTGTGAAGTAAACTCATTTGAATTCTTAATGAGTGATGATAGAATTGAGTCTCCTGGCGACAATCTTCGTGACTGGTAGTAGTCGATTTACATCTCTACTGAAGATCACTTTTTTATTGACTTGGAATTCTCACTTTGTTGTCATGTAATGATTTACTTTTTATTAGTTGGTAAATTTGGTCTATATTAATATTGTGTTTGTTAATCGCTGGTTGATTCACTTGAGTACCAGGCTTCTAGGAATTCTCTGGCAGTATTTTTGGTGTTTCCTGTGTTTAAAATTTCGACATTATCCCAATGAAATTGATGTCCATAATTATACACAATACTCAAATATATGAACAAATAAAAGGAACACCAATAGGATCGCTCATATCAGGATTAATAGCTGAAGCCGTTATGCAAAGATTAGAATTAATAGCTCTACCTATAGTTAAACCGAAAGTCTGGATACGTTACGTTGATGATACATTTGTAATAATTAAGAGAAATGATTCAGAATATACTCATAAATTAATAAACAACATATTTGAAGACATCAAATTCACAAGAGAAGAAGAATTAGATGACAACGAAATCCCATTTTTAGATGTCTTAATCAGGAGAACCAACACAGGAGATTTAGAGACACAAGTTTATCGAAAATCAACGCCCAGACATAGATCGAATACTCAACTATACTAGCAATAATCCACTTACTCACAAACGAAACTGTGTGCAGACATTGTTTAAAAGAGTTCAAACACATTGTGGCACTCCAGAGTTGAAAAAAATGGAAGAAAAATACCTACAAACGGTCTTCAAAAAGAATGGTTATCCACAAAATTTCGTCAAAAAGCTTTTAAAACACCAACAAGAAACCATCATCAAAGACCACAAGAAAATTCATTCTACCATACATGAAAAATATCTCTGAAATAACAGCCAGAATACTGAAACCGTTAGATATAGATATAGCACACAAACCAGTCAAATCGCTTAATTCGATATTATGCAAACCAAAAGATCCAACAGAAAAAGGAGATAAAATTAATACCATCTACAAAATAAGTTGTATGAACTGTAACAAGCATTACATCAGCCAAAGTGGGCGTCCCCTTCGAATTGGAATCCAAGAACACAAATCAACCGTGAAAAGACACGATATGTATTCTTTAGTATCAATGCATATAGACAATTATGGACATCAATTTGATGATTGGGATAATGTCAAAATCTTAGACAGGGGAAACACCAAAAGTGCAGTCAGGGAATTCCTAGAAGCCTGGTACTCAAACGAAAATGCAGTTAACAAACACGTTAATAAAGACGAAATATACCAAATAATAAAAAGTAAATCCCAGGTGACCAGAAAGTTGAAAATCCAAGTCAATAGAAAATGGTCAATACACATGTAAAGATGGTTACCAGGAGATGCAATTACATCAGGCATGAAGTAATTTTAATCATTTCACTTTGTGCTAAATATGGCGCTGAAGATGTTGTCCGGAAGGACGACGAAAGCTTCGCGACTAAGCCAACCAGCTCAGAGAACACTTTTAATTGCAAATTATACACATGCATTGATATGAACTGATATGAATTCGGCAGCAGGGAATGCTCTTTACACCGCATTTCTAAGGTTCTGTGTTAGTATCTCGCTCATGTTATCCCCAAGGAACTGAATTTGTAAGAATAAGGCCTTTTTAGGACCTGTTGGTACCTTGAGTTGCCTTGATTTTAGACTCATATTCTTATCAACAAACTTTTCTGGATAACCATTTTCACTCAGCAACCGTTTAATATTATTAAGTTCCTCGTCAAGACATTCGTCCGAGCAAAGCTCTCTTGCTCTGTGGACTAAGCACTTTATTAGATTGCGTTTGTATTTCAAGGGCACGAAGCTGACAAAATGAGTATACTGACCCGTTGATGTAGGTTTTCTATATACACGCCTTCTTATTGTGCCATCCTCTTTTCTGGTCACAGGGACGTCTAGTAAAGAAATACTAGAGTTTTTTCTTTCTCAGTAGTAAAATTTATTGCAGGATGTACCTCATTAAATTTATCCAGGATGTTCTTTGCTTCCTCCTCATTTTTCATAATCAAAATTCTATCATCCATGTACCGACAATAGAATTCAAGTTCATTAATAACATCCTTCAAAGGCCCTTTTTCTAGTTTCGCAAGGAAAATGTCGGCTAGAATGGGTCCTAGTGGCGACCCCATTGCCACACCGTCGATTTTCTATATAGTTCCTTATTAAATAAAAAGTGGACATTCATTGTACATTTCAAGAGAAGCTCTTTCATAAAAGATATAGGAATGCCAACATCAATGTTTCGTCTTATAGGTTCTTCCCATACAAAGTCCACTGTTTCCATAAGTGGTACATTCGTGACTAAGGAAGATACATCAAATGATATCATGAATTTATTGTCAACATTTAAATCTTTTATAATTTCAACAAATCCATAAGTATCCTTTGCACTGTGTTTCCCCAACTCGGTATGAAGAGTCTGTAAGAGTTCGACTAAGCATTTGGCTACGGAATGGTTTGGTGAATTTAACATATCTAATACTGGTCGAAGTGGTACACCATTTTTGTGCACTTTGGGCGAGCCATATAATCTTGGTGTGAACGTTCCAGTGGGTTTAAGTGATGTATACTGACTCTGTGAGATAAAGCCTTTTTGCTTCGGTCTTTTCAATGTTTCCGTTAACTGTTTCTCTATCTTTTCAATCGGATCCAGATAAGAGGAGATTTTTTGGAATTTTAGATTATCATTAAGAATAGTATTCATTTGCTCAAAGTAATCCGCTCTCTTCATGATGATCACTCCTGAGCCCTTATCCGATCTTGTTATTATTATGTTGTCATTTTATCGGAGATTGAAACATATTTCATATTTATGACAGTTTCGACCACGGATTGATATCAGTTAAACAAACCTTGAAAACCAGCAAGGAGTACAGGACAGTTAGCTATTTCATCCTAGTTTGGCAATCATCGACAGTAATCACCCACGCCACAAGGGGTTTGAACCCAGGACCTTCCAGTTACAAGGGAAGCTAGTGTACCATTCAGCCACTGGGACCCAATTCAATAGCCAGTCCATGAATTCTGACTTCTACCAATACATGATTTAGCGCAACTGGCACCAACCAAGGTCATCAGTGGGGCATCCATCCTTAAACCTGACTGGGTGGACCTCACTGGTCAACTGATTTCACTTCTCCATGAATGATGATAGAATTGCGTCTCCTGGCAACAATCTTCGTGAATGGTAGTCGATTAACATCTCTACTGATGATCACTTTTTATTGACATGGAATTCTCACTTTGTTGCCATGTAATGATTTAATTTTTATTAGTTGGTAAATTTGGTCTATATTAATATTGTGTTTGTTAATCGTTGGTTGATTCGCTTGAGTACCACCAGGCTTCTAGGAATTCCCTGACTGCACTTTTGGTGTTACCTCTGTCTAAAATTTCGACATTATCCCAATCATAAAACTGATGTCCATAATTATCTATATGCATTGATATGAAACAGGAAAATATATCATGTCTTTTCACAGCTGATTTGTGCTCCTGGACTCTGATTAGAAGGAGACGCCCACTTTGGCCGACAAGTAATGTCTGTTACACTTCATACACGCAATGTCATTGAGACATATTTCATACTTACACCAGTTTGACCACAGGATGATATCAGTTAGAGAACCATGGAAAACCAGCATGGAGTACTGGACAGCTGTTTCCTCCGTCCTGGTCTGAGAATCATCGGCTGTACGCACCCACTGCCAGGGTTCGAACCCAGGACCTTCCGGATACAAGGCAAGCTCGTATACCATTCAGCCACTGGGACCCGATTCAGTAGCCAACCCATGAATTCTAACTTCTACGAATTCGTGATTTAGCGCGACTGGCACCAACCAATGTCACAGGTGGGAACTCCATCCTCACACTTGATTGGATGGACCTCATTGGTCACGATTTCTCATCTAACTCTTTTAAATATTTCATATTGGCTAGTAATGCGTATTTATTTGTTTGAAACCCCATGCCCGAAGTTAACGGGTTTTATTTTTTAAATATAGTAATAATACACAGGTGAAACAGTTGTGTTCTCTCAACTGGAATGGTTTTCTCTCCATATTGGCAGCTATGTGACCAATTTCAGTGTGGAATATTCAAGCATTTTAAAGAGTGAACACACATAAAGCGCCAGAGAAAATTTTTAAGAGACTGATACTCAGACAACAACAACCAACAGACATATTGTGGTGAGAGCTGTCTACTAGCCAAATTGGTAGACAGTAATTTACGTCAATATTTACGTTCCCAAGATTTGTCGTGAGAAACAACCAATCGGAAGACTGTGTTTGTTTGTTTACATATCCATAGTAATGTACATGAAAACATATATAAATATGCGTTGATTTCCTTAATAAATGATCTGTTGCCTGACTCTTGCCTTCTGTCGTTACAATATTACCTTTGATGACATTAGATGGTTGGAGGCAATCGGCCACAGGAAGCCTTCCTTGGCCTAGGTTTCGTGCTAGTTGGCACTCATCAGCAAGGCGTATCTGCAACCTTGAAGTGACTCATGACTCTCGTTACCCAATGCTGCAGTCAGAGACGTTACCACCACTGAGCTTTTCGGGCTGGCTCGCGATTGACCTCCTGTAGGACTGTATTCGATATTTTGATTAGACATTAGTAACTAGTGCGATGTGTCTAGTCCTTTCTTTGGTGCTTAGCGGTTTCTGACTGCAGCACTTAGTGACGCGGGTCCAAATCTCAGAAGGGACATGAGTTGTTATTTCAAGGTTGCAGATACGCCTTGCTGACTAGTGAGTGCCAACTAGCACGAAACCTAGGTCGAAGGCTTCCTGTGGGCGATTGCCTACAACCATCTAATATCGTCAAATCAACGTGCGCCATGGTGGCGATGGTGGTCACATTACAAAACTGCCTGATAGAATTCAGTGTGCACCAAAGAAAGGACTAGACACATTACCTATAGATAAAATTTATCAAGTAACAATAAAAGTCGAATTCCAAGTCACTAAAAATGGTCAACACTAGGGGAAATTAGCAACTCATCACGACAAAAGTTGTCGTGTGGATACAATTCAAACAAGTCCACTTCACATATTGAAGCTTCTGCTGAGGATACATATCAAAAAGGACCGTGAAAGCTTCGCTAATTAAATCACCCAGCCCAGAAAATACAGCCACATGAAAAGTTTAAGCTTACATGGCCAATCTACTGACCATTGGGCTACTGATTTAGGATTCATTTACTGACTTAAGTGCTCTGATCGTTACAATTACTGTCATCGATTAGTTATGTCTGATTTCTCATAAACTAGAAGATATGCAAGTGAAAAGCAACAAGATGGCGATTGAAGAAGCATCCAAAGAAGATAGGACTTCAAGTGATGAAGATTCCCGGCCAACAGCAACAGCCACAGCAGACAACAATCAGCATAAATGGGAGGAATCTGAAGGAGGCAACCTCCTTTACCTACATACCTACCTATCTGGGAAGCATCGTTTCAACTACCGGCGGATGGAACTGATGGGGATATCAAAGCAGCGAGGATGGGGAAAAACAAAGCAAGCAAGCTTTCAATACTCTCAAGTATGTGTGGAGATCAGCAGTCCTCGGCATGAAAATAAGATCCCGATTTTCAACTCCAATGTGAAGTCAGTGCTACTGACTATACGGATCAGAGACTCGGTGCCGAGCCACTTCACGAAGGCCACTTCGAACAAAATACACACCTTCATCAACAGGTAGTTGTCTTCGCTCAATACTACGCAAGATCAGATGGTCGGGCAGAAGAGACCGGCAACAAGGAGGGATCTCTGGCAATGAGTGAACAAACCCAGCAGGAACCAATTGTGCATCAAATATGCAGGAAGAAATGGAGGTGGATTGGCTGGGCATACTTTGAAAAATCAAACCATCAAGTGATTGACATCACACGACAGGCCATTGCTCGAGTGGAATCCATATGGGAAGCGGCGAGTTGGTCGTCAGTGTGAGGGTGGGGTGTCATGGAGGAGTTGATGTGAAGAGGAGATGAGAACATGTGGGCAGACGTGGTGCCAGAAGTAAACGTTGGCAGAGAACGAAACGCAATGGAGACGTGCGGCCGACGCCCTATGTTCCTCTAGGAACTAAAGGAAACAGTAATAATGATAATAATGACCTTCAGTTTCACCTTGATATGGTCGGCTATACCGGTCTCAACCACCTTAACTTATACTAAATTACAACAAAAGTTTATACTCAAAATTCATCAAAATCCTACAAACCAGCAGAAAAGCTTAAAGTCTAAATCCGTATACTTTTTCTTACCTTGACAACTGTTGTTGTTGCCGTTGGTTCACCGCCATGGTAATGATTTTTCTCAGGCTGATTTTTAGTTCCTTCTTTCTCTAATTTTTTCTTAAATTCCATCAGAATTTCATTGTCATATGTATATTTTCTTAGAAATAAGACACAAGAAAAACATAAAATTTAGAAAAGAGTATTGACTCAGGAAGATAAGTGTGTCATAAAGAAATTTCACGAAGTAACTCAATATTTATTGATTATTGTAAAAGTTCTATTTGCATTTTCCCAATGACTGGAAAACAAAACGATACTGTCATTTCTACTGACGTTTCGCTATTTAATGCTGCTGTTAATCGCTTTGTCAAAGCATTTTCAAACCAGAATTTACAAAATCTCAGTTTAAATATAACAGCAACTTAATCACCATTAATCAGTATGGGGCAATTTTTGCGTTGTTGTCAAGTTGGCTAGTTGGTAAAGATAACAAAACCAAATGTAGATTCTTGGATATGATACGTGTATAAGTGTATAATAAAACTGCTTATCACATTCATGTTGATTTTTTCATTTCATGGGGGGGGGGAGGTGTTGTAACCAGGTCAAATTCTGTTTCAATCCATCATTCCTGTTCAGACAATTTGAATTCCACTTGATATGAAGTGCTTCCGATGGTAATAGACGCTATTTGTGATTTCTGAAATTTTTCTGGATTATTTCAGTATTGTCAAAATCAATTTTGTGAACTGATTCTATGGTCTGTAGGCAACCTATGACTGATGCTTTTTGAAGCTTTTCTAGTTTAACTGGATTTCTGGGTGACTGAACACAGGCGGCTCTACGGTGTTCATTTCCACTGATCACCTTGATTTCTCTCTGGCGATGTTTGTCTGATGTATATCGCATTACTTTCTAAGCAAGCATTTTACTTTATAGACACAGTTAGATTGAAAAATCCTTTCGAATTTGGTCATTTACATGAACTTTGGAAGAATTTCAGTCTGTAGACAATGTACGTTGCACAAGGTAAGCAAGCTCGTAGACCATTAAGCCACTGGGACCCAATCCAATGACCAGTCCATGAATTGTAACTTCTACCAATTCACTACATAGCGCTACCAGTAGCCAATGTCTTCGGCGAGTATTTGTCCTCACACCCGACGTGCTGCACCCTACCATTCACGAATCCCCACTGGAACCCAAGTAACTACCAAACTGAATAGGGCCATTCGCCCAGTGGCTTAGTGGTCTACGAGCTCGCCTTGTAACTGGAAGGTCCTGGGTTCGAACCGTGTCGGGGGGTGCGTGCTGGTGAAGAGTCCCAAGACTAGGACGAAACGACTGTCCAGTACTTCCTGTTGGTTTTCAAAAGGTTCTCTAACTGATGTTAGCTCAGGAATACATCAAATAATAATACCTCAAACCTTTGTTAAAATTTCATCAGGGGGTATAATTTCTTTTAAAAAAATCATCTATACATGTATTTACGATCGTACAACATGCAAATAAGTTCGTTGAAAAAAGTCTCTTTGCTGAATCACTTGCTTTAATTAAATAAAAATGTATGTATGTATATTTTTCTGGCTGATGGTGTGCGGCAGTGGAATCGAGGATGTGTATTTCGTCTTATTTGCAACTCGACATCTGAATGTACCATCATTCTCAGTAAGTGATGGATAACTTCCTACGTGACAATTTCAGGAGCTGACGCATCAGCAGATAACGCGAATTTCCGAGCAGAAATGCAAATTACAATGAAATCATGTAAAGGCTATGCACGTTAAATTAAAAAAGCCTGTAACAGATCTAATTTCAAAACACAATATTCCTCGCTTAGATATGCCTTGTGTGGATATTTCATCTAAGCAAGTTCATTAGCTGAAGTTATGGTAATAATGTGCTGAGAGCTGTCTGCAAGAGAAAATTGCGAAGAACAATTGACATCTATGTTGAGGTCCTGAATCGAGGTCATGAGAAAAAACACAATAACAAAGCTTAGCCTTGATATAAGTATAAAACTTGGCCACTGTGGTGGTAGAGTATAACTCCTTTATGGGTAAGATTTTATTTTGATAAAGTGTCACACAGTGTTATATAGTAATATTAACTGACGACCACGTTTCGAGCACAAACTATTGCTCATAATCATATCAAGTCACTCACACACACAACTTTTTCCTTCATTGATATACATGTGAGGAATTGACAAGATATTTGAATAAAAATCAATATGGGATCATGTACATTCAGAAATAATAATATGAGTGTTATTGATCAATTGCAATCAGATGGGAAATAAGACGAGTGTTTCTATAGTCGTAATAAGTAACTTGTTAGAATGTTGTGATGTGCTTGACATGAAATAGAATTTTGAGATTTTTTATTATCCTCCTCTGATTTGACTGGCTGACTGGTGGTAATAATATCTTCCATATTTCTGGTATTTGCATTGAGTCATTTCTGTTGCGCATGTGTTGAGTGTAGACTCAATGAACAAGGATTCTGTAATCAACCTCTCAGTATCTCCACCTACATAGATTACATCTTATAATCTTAACCATCTCCCGCCCACTTGGTTGTGTGTTAGTGCATTTATTGCAATTGCTGAGTTTTTCTCTAAACTACTTATCTTCGTGAGACCAGTCATTCTAACCTTAGCTAAATTCTTAAGTTCTGACAGGCAGGGTCACTTCTCCTGATCTACTAGTTTGGCCTATGTAATTGACCTCACAGTCATTGCAGAGTGTTTTGTAAATTATATTATTTTGTTTAATTGGCTCCACCGGGTCTTTTAGCCTTCAGAGCTTGTCCTACTTGACAGAGTTTGTAGGTTTGAATGCCACCCTAATTCCTGCCTTATTCAGAATCCTACATAGGGAGGGTCTCAGATGTCCCCCCTTCTCATATGGTATAACAATAGATGACTTATATTTTCTCTTATTTATGTTATCATTACTAGTTTCACAATTATTTTTATTTTGCTTTTGGCCTTTTTCGATCTTCCTAATGAATTTTACAGGATAGTTATTTAAACTTAACTTTGAGGAAATCCACAACCAATCACAGCAGACTTAACGTTGGCGGATACGATTCGCAGACATATGGCTTAACTTTCTGAGAAACGGTCACAATGAGATAAGAGAATTACCTTCAGCAAGAAAACAATCAATCAGAAGACGTTTCTTCTCTGCTAACAATAACGCTAACAGCAATGTACATAAAAATCTATAAATATCTCTTGATTTTCTAGAAAAACGATCTGTTGTCCGGCCCTTGTCTTCTGTTGTTACAATAATATTATTACCAATAATAAAGAATATATATATCTTTTCTTCCACTTACTTTTCTGGATATTCTTCTATGTCAAGTTCTTCCAAGTGTAGCCGTATGCCAATTTCTTCTACAGGTAAATCACAATTCACTTTTTCTAACTGTCCATCTATTCTTTTCAATTCCTCCAGTATCATCATTTTTTTATCACGTAAATTTAATAAAGAGGCATTGAATTCATGACGTAATTCAAATGTCTACAAAAGGAACAACATATAAGTGATTGCTTTATGAGTTCAAATACATATATATTTATATATATATACATAGGCTTAATCAAGATTTGTTGGTCGTCCAAGGGTGACTTGGAGGAGGTCCTGTGAAGTGGAGATGAAAGCATGCGGGCAGACGTGGAGCCAAGTGAAAAGGTTGGCAGAGAACCAAACGCAACGAAGACGCACGGCTGAAGCCCTATGTTCCTCTAGAAATTAAAGGAAACAATAAATAATAATAAATAATTATAGTGATAATAACGACCATAGGTGAATTAGTATTTTCGATAGGGCAGGCGAAATTGCCAGAGTATTAATTCGTGGAAAATACCCATTAAAACATTAGAGAAAGAAGAGAACACAAAGTTCAGCAAAGACAACTATCTTTTCGGCGGTTTCATTTTCAAAAGCAGCTATACAATCGCATTTAAATACATAATTTTACACAGATATAATTTTTACCTGATTCCGCACAATTACGAAGACGAATAAAAGGTGACAACTAGATATTTTCAACTAGATATGGTTTACGAGAGGCTTAGAGACAAAATTACACAAGATCAGAACGAATTACAGGTGCGTAGAAAAATGAGCATGGAAATAAATTGAAATAATAATTTTCAACTTAAAATGGAAGTTAGGAGGTGTGAATATAGATTACAAGAGGCTTAGAAACAAAAATTGCACAGGATGAGGGAGGATATAATTGCAAAATAGTTGTTTTAAAAGAAGTGTAAATGTGAGCAGTAAAGGAAGCATGGAAACAAACTTAAAATAACTGTTCTTATAACTGAAAAAAATGGGATGAATTGGATGAAGACAAAGAGAGAGTAAGAATCGCACACACAGCGATCAAAAAATGCGGAGGCTAAGGGAACACAGCAAACTAGGTTCATATTAGTTGTAGAGGTTCGACTAATTTCTTTTGCACACACCTCCGGCTTTTCGATGCATATTGCGAGGGCTTCTGAAGTACAGAGAAGTCGGAAACTCATTGCTTTTGGTAGGTTTCTGCTCACTTTGTAAATTATTTTGAATGAATCAGTTGAGATGTTGTGGGAGGTGTTGATCAAATGTTCAATAATGGCACTTTTGTTTGAACCGGCAGCAAAAAGGAGACACCAGTAATTCCTTCTAATCCTGTGTGCTTTTGTTTCTAAGCCTCTCATGAACCATATCTAGTTGAAAGTAATTGTCATCTTTTCATTCACCCTCGTAATTATGTGGAATCCAGTAAAAAGCAAATTGTATCTATGTAAAATTATGTATATAAATGCGATTGTACAGCTGCTTTTGAAAATGAAACCACCGACCAAAGTGCTCGGTCTCAGGTTGATATGTTGGCTTCTTGTGCAGATGCTTCGACGATGTCTGGGCATTTAATTAGTATTTAATTGGTGGATGGTGACTAGCAGTGGAATCCAGAATGCACATTTCGTCTTATTTGGGACTCATCATCTGGATTTACCTGCATTCCCCAGTGAGTTAGTGATGGTGTTCCCACCGAGGCTCGAACCCAGTGCCCTCAGTTTCAAACGCCAAAGCGTTATCCACTAGACCACTTGAGCCACGAGAGCCCCCTCTTGTGCAACGGGTCATATTAATTTAATTGATTTTTAGATTTTCCCGTCGGTGGGAACATCATCACTCACTGGGAAATGCAGGTACATCCAACTGATGAGTCCCAAATAGGGCAAAATGCGCATCCTGGATTCCACTGCTAGTTACCATCCACAAATTAAATACTGACTAATTAGTGTTAACAAACACATCAGTGCCACTTGATTGGTAAATTGTTGTGTATTGTAATGAAAATGCCCTACATAATAAATTAGAGTAGAGCCAGATTGAGATGAGGATCTAATTGTAAAGATTTGATGAAAACAGAACTAGCACACACACACACACCCTCACACGTCCACATGACTTACTTTTTCTACAATGCTAAGTAGTCGGTATTTAGCACCAAATGTGTTCAGCTTCATACTTTCTGGTATTACGTAATTCGTAGCTGATTTCAGCTTATAATCACCCATTTGCTCTTGAGCTAACCGGATCGCTTCTACATCTTTTGGATCTTCATAGTCATCCGGTGGTTTCATAGCCTGTAATTCTTCCCACTGTTAGAGTGAAAAACCAAAAGAAGACAAAAGCAGAAGAGAAATGAAACAATTGTTAGAATTTTCTAATTCATGAATAACCCTTATCGCCAGACATTAATGAAAACAAAACACGTGTAGTTCAGTGAAGAGTCTCTTTTCGGCGGCGAATTCATTCATTTAGTGAGATGTACAATCGCAATCACATATAGTCATTTTTGTGTGTGTGTGGTTGTACATTAGATTTTTCCGATAAGAATAAAAATAAGTCAGGGTTATTGTTGTCAAGATATTTCAAAAATGTGATGAATAATCAAACTGAATAATCAAGAAGGCAAAGTACATGAGGATTGGAAGAAAGGATACTTATTCAAAATACCAAAGAAAGGAGACCTAAGTCAATGCAAGAACTGGCGCGGAATTATGCTCCTGTCCATCCCAAGCGAAATACTAAGCCGCATCATTCTGGAGAGAATCAAACACGCCAACCTGGATGAAAAACTTCGACCGAAACAGGCTGGATTCAGGAGAAACTAGTCATGCATTGATCAGATCGTCACATTACGGATCATCATTGAACAAAGTCACCTCTCTATCTCAACTTCATCGACTTTGAAAAGGCCTTCGACAGCGTCGATCGAGAGATGATTTGGAAAATACTACGCTACTATGGGGTGCCACCGACAATTATACATCTCATCCCACAGCTCTACGACAATGCTGCATGCCAAGTAATCCACAACGGGAAACTTACGGAATCCTTCGAAGTGAGGACAGGAGTAGGACAAGCTGGCCGCCTACTATCTCCAATGATTTTCCTGATTGCAGTAGATTTTATAGTGCGACAGACAGCGGGAAATGAGGAAACAGGCATAAAATGGACTCACACAAAAAGAAACTTGGAGGATCTGGACTTCGCCGATTATATATGTCTGATTTCCCGCAAACTGGAAGATATGCAAGTGAAAAGCAACACGCTGACGATAGGGGAAGCATCAATAGAAGATAGGCCTTCAGGTGAACATAGATAAAACAGAGGTGATGAAGATTCCTGGGCAACACCACCAACAGCAACAACAACAACAGCAGAAAACAGTCAGCATAAATGGAAGGAACCTGAAAGAAGAAACCTCCTCTACCTACCCACTTGGGAAGCATAGTTTCAACTACAGGCCGGCGGAACTGACGAGGATATCAAAGCAAGAATCGGAAAAGCAAGACAGGCTTTAACTACTCTCAAGTCTGTGTGGAGGTCAACAGCACTCAGCATCAAAAATAAGATCCGGATTCTCAACTCCAATGTGAAGTCAGTGCTACATACTATACGTACGGATCAGAGACTTGCACTGCGCATCATAACGAGCATCTCAAACAAACTACACACTTTCATCAACAGTTGTCTTTGCTCAATACTGCTCAAGATCAGATGGCCGGCCAAAAAAGATCAGCAACAGAGATCTCTGGCAATAAGGGAACCAACCTGGAACCGATTGTGAAACAAATAGGCAGGAAGAAATGGAGATGGATTGGCCGTACTCTGAGGAAACCATCAAGTGACATCACTAGACAAGCCATTGCTCGAGTGGAACCCGACTGAAAGGGAAGCGATGAGTTGGTCGTCAGTGCAAGGGTGACTTGGAGGAGGTCATGTGAAGATGAGATGAAAGCGTGTGGGCAGACTTGGAGCCAGGTGAAGACTCTAGCAGAGAAGTGAACGCAGTGGAGACGCATGGCTGAAGTCCTATGCTCCTCTAGGAATTAAAGGATACAATAATAATAATAATCAAACTGTAACTAGGGTGGGTGGGAGTGAAGATTAGTAAGAGGGTAGTGATGATATGTCGTCACAAAACATAGTTATTCATATTAATAAGCGTAATACAGTTACTCAATACAATGAATAGTTTAATGAGTGAGCTGTGATTAGGACGCAAGTAGAAACAAAGGGAATTATGGAATTATTTAAGAATTCTAAAAATTACAGATGTTATCAGGAGTTAGAAGAACAAAAAGACAAGCGCACCAATATCAAGTCAGTAGAAGTGAACACGTTTGTTACCATGACAGAATTGGCTGAATGATTTTCTTTTGTATACATAACTCTGGTTTTTCCAACTGGACGGCGAAGAATTGAGCAATACAAAGGAGGCAAAAGCAAGCGTATTTCCTTTGGTGAGTTGTTCTTCACTTTGTAGGAGGATCACTTTGAAGGAGGAAGCGTTTGTTAAGATGAAATGACCAGTGTTGACGAGATGTTCGATTATCTCACTCCTTATATTGCCACTATTACCAATTTGTAACCATGCAGGATTGTGTTGTTGAACCCATTTTAGACAGGATACGCGTCGAACTATCAATATACCTGGCTTCACAGCAACAGGTGAACTGATGGATAGATGCACATATAACTGGCCAAATCTTGTCTTACTCCTCCATTCACTTCAAACGATTCCCTGAGTTTTCCGTTGTGGATCATCTGACACATGGCATTTTCGTATAGCTACATGTTGAATGAAGTTGATAAAGATTTGGAGCACTACATGCCTCAGTGTTGAAATAGTTTCCAAATTACTTCTCGGTCAATGGTGTCTGTCGAAGACTTTTCCAAAATCGATAAATAATAAGGCAAAGGTTTAACTGCCATTCTATGCTTTGTTCCGTGACGACGATGCGCAGAGTTGCAATTCGACCAGCACTAGATTTACCTTTCCTGAATACAGCTAGATTGTCCCAGTGGGTGGCGGAGTTTTGTATTCAGTGCATCATTTATTCTCTCGAGGATGACACGACTTAGTAATTTACTTGGCGCAAACAACAGCATGATTCCATGCCAGTCAATTCTTGCAGAGTGAGGCGTAAGTCGCCCTTCTTTGGTAGTTTCACAAGATAGCCAGTCTTTCTTCAGTTATAGTAGCTATTAATTCAATTTGTTTCCATGCACATTCCACTCACATCTGTCTTCGTTAGAAGAAATTGTTTTACATATTGCGCAACTATTTTTTCTTGTAATCCTGTGTAATTTTGTCTCTATTCCTCTTGTGATCTGTATCCATACCTTCAGACCTTCATATCATGTTATCGTACAGCTACTTCTGACGAAGAAGTTGCCAGGAAGATATCTCTGCCCGATTTCCTGTTTTATTTTCTGTCTAATTATTTTGTCGTGAGAGTGGAGACAGATAGTACGGAAGTAAAGAAATAATTAGGGTATTATCAGCCATCTAGTGGACAAGGCTTTGGCGCTAGAAAAAACAAGTTTTGGTCACCAGTCTCAGTGGTTTTACCATCATCAGTGACTGAGAATAACGGTACATTCAGCTGATGAGTGGCATTAGAACGAAACGTGAATGTTGGCTTCAACTGCTAGTCACCAGCTACCAAATTAGTTCAAGTTAATCCTCCAGCATCTTTGAAGCCTCCGTAGTAAAAGTTGACATGTTAAGACAGACTAAACATTTCAGTCCAGTCAGTCAAGTGACTCTCGTGGCCTAAGCGGTCTGGGGTACAACTCTTCGGCGTGTGAAAAGATGGGTTGTGGGTGCGATTCTCGGTTGGGACACCATCACCTACTACGTAGTGGTGGTACATTCCTCTGAATAGTCCTAAATATGACGAGGCGCGCGTTTTGAAATCCACTGCTAACCACCATCATCTAAATGGTATAGTGTTAACCTTCAAACACTATCGAAAAAAGTTAATATATGTGTAAAACTTGGGCACTGTGGTAGTCAGTATTACCCTTTTAATTTGCTTATTAGATGTATCATACAGTGAGTGAAACAGTATTATTCACTGGATGACACAGTTTCGAACAAAATTTATTGTTCATAATCACATCATCAATTATAATCACACAACTTCGAAACTTGAGTTTTATAGTTTTCTTTTTTCTCTACTATTTGTCGTCGTAGGGGTAGTAGAATTTTCCAGATATCTGCCTGGACAGGTGTTGAAACATTCCTATTACATGTATTTGCAGTTGATTCGATAAACAAAGTTTCTGTTATCAAACATTCCCTCCACCCTGCTGTTCCATTAGATTTTAAAACTGTCATCCTATCCCATCCCATCCTGTTGTATGATTGTGTGTAATTGCATGCAGTGAGTGGCATAGCTGAACTATTCTCTACATTTCTTATCTCATTCAGGTCAACTAATCTGGATTTTGCTAAGTTTTTATGTTCTGCTAGTCTGACTGCCCCTTTCTTCTAGTTTGACCTATGTATTTGACCTGACAATCATCGCAGACAGAGTATTAGATAAACTAAATTGTTTTGTTTAATTTGCTCCACAGGCAGAATGCTTTAACAGAGAAAGCTTGTTTCTAATTGAGTTTGTGGGTGGTTTATATGTCAGTCACTTTTATTCCTGCCTTGTTAAGAATTCTGCGTAAGGTGGTTTCCGAGGTTCCTTCCTTGTATGGAATTACTACCGATGATTTAGATTCCTTATTGTTGGTGTCGTCATTAATATTATTATTATTATCACTACCACTACTATCATTATTTATTTTATTTTTACATTTCCCTACATATTTCCTGACTAATTTATCAGGGTAATTATTAAGTTTCAAGGCTTCTTTTATGTGTATCACTTCCTGTCTTTGATTTTCCTTGGTACCACTTAGTTTTTGTGCTCTGTCCCTTAAACATTTCACCAATCCTATTTTCACTGACACAGAGTAGATGGGATGATCGGAAGTCCAAATATCTGTTTGAATGTGTGCGTTTCCTGTAAACACACTAGTCTGTTTAACTTCCCATCTTCTTTCCATTTTACGTTGCAATCTAACATTGGATGCTCCCCTTCCTGACTTTCTAATTCATAAGTGAATTGAATTGCCTCCACCTTTGAGTTGATGTGTTCGAAAAATCTATCTATATCACCCACACCCCAAAAGTATGGTGGAGGTATGTAGATGACACATTCACTGTACTTAGAACACAAGATATAGATAGATTTTTCGAACACATTAACTTGAAGGTAGAGGCAATTCAATTCACTTATAAATTGGAATGAATATAAATCAACCCATAGGAAGTAAAAAATATCACTTTACCTGTGCACGACGAGCAGCTCTTCTTTCTCTGGCTTGTTCAAGTACATGTAATTTTTGTGCAACTCTTAAACCACGTGCTCCTTTCACTGGTGCTTGTGTCTGCTCTACATCACTTTTTGTCTTTTCAGATCCCTTTTCTACTTGATCACTTGCATCTAAAAGAAAATTTTTTTTTTGATCACGAAATACAAGATGAATAAAGATGATTTATTTTGAACAATTGCTCTAGCGTAGATAATTACACAAACAACTTAGAAGGGAATCAATATGCCATTAAATAGTGTGTCATGTTTCAATTATGAAATGTATGGAACTCAGTACAACTAACAAGACTGGCATATTTGACAGTAACGCCAAGTCAGTCAGTCAGTGCTTCTATGAGTTTCAGAGACTTGAGGTACGTGTTATCAACAGCATTTCTAACATATTAGTTTGTTTATCAGATATATCACGTACACAGTGAGCGAAACAGTATTATTATTATTTACTGGATGACACAGTTTCAAACACAATTTATTATTGTTCATAATCATTTCATCAATTATAATCACACAACTTCGAAACTTGAGTTTCATAGTTTTCTTTGTTCGCTCCTATTTGTTGTCTTTCGGGTAGTGGAATTTCCCAGATACCTGCCTGGACAGGTGTTGAATCATTCCTATTACACGTATTTGCAGTTGTTTCGATAAACAAGGCTTCTGTTATCAATCTCTCCCTATACCCTGTGACATTAGATTTTAAAACTGCCATCCTATCCCATCATCCTATTGTATGGTTGTGTGTAACTGCATGTAGTGAGTGCTATGGCTCAACTATTCTCCAGATTTCTTATCTTATTCGGGTCAACTAATCTAGGTTTTGCTGCTAGCTTTTGTGCTCGGCTAGTCTGACCCCACCTGTTCTACTAGTTTGACCTATGTATTGCACCTGACAATCATTGCAGGCAGTGTATTAGATAAACTAAATTGTTTTGTTTAATAGGATCCACTGTCAGGATTCTTTAGCCGACAAAGCTTGTTTCTAATTGAGTTTGTAGGTGGTTTGGATGTCAGTCACTTTTATTCCTACCTTGTTAGGAATTCTCATCCGTAAGGTGGTTTCCGAGGTTCCTTTTTTGTATGAAAGGAAGTATTACTGATGATTTAGATTCCCTATTGTTGGTGCTGTCATTATCCTGAGCATGTTTGACATGCATGTCGTCCTTAATATTGTTATTATTTTTATTATGACCATCATTACCATTAATATTTATTTTATTTTTACATTTCCTTGGGAATGAGAAATGCTAAGTAAACTGACTTCATTTGTCCTTTTTTCTCTGCTACATTGTTGTTAATTTTTTTCACTTCACTTTATATTCGTACTCTTAGTGAACACTATCATCAACGTTACTATTCTGTTTCACTTACTACTCATGTAATGAGAATATTAGATGTGAAAATCCCACATTTATACCAAAAGTACTGTTTAGAATGAAGCTATTATTATTATTCTAGTAAGCGCAATATCGCTTGAAATTAAGTCACGCGTAGATAGAGGCTATTCCGGTCCAGAACAAACAAGAAGCCGGTCACTGTTTCTACGGTACTATTAATTAACAAATCAATAAATATATATACAACAAACCTTAACGGTTTCAAGAGTACAGTACACAATGCTTAACAGAAAGCAAGGAACCGCTATCAGAGCAGAATTACGTTAAGGCCAAAATTGCGAACTAGCCGGATCAGACACGACCGTTCAGGTAAGCAGTCAGTAGAAGAATGAACCCAAGTAAGAGATAGACAAAGCATAGGCACAAAGATAGAATTTAATTGGCTACTTAACCAATCAATAAATAAGATAAGATCAACAGAATAGTACAAAGTAAGACATGGGTCAGCAAAATAACAGTTCACAAAAATACTCTGATTGGGTTATGAGTTCAACTGTCTGACTAAACAGATCGAAGTAAACACACACACACAGTTCATTAAACAAGGTGGGATAGACACGTCAGGCATGGATAATTGTGTTGCAACAATGCTAGGCTGATCCGCGACAGGTTGACTTGATTCAAGGACGGGAATTGAATTGATCTTACACCAGCCCCCAAAATCCGACTGGGATTTTATGAATAATGTTACACAGAATAACCCTCGTGCCCGGCTCTCTTACAAATGACTTCCCTTTAGTAGGCATATCTTACGTATATCGCGCTTCACCTGGCCGTTTCTCGTTTTTATTGGAACGGTTCTGACAAGTCTGTCCGCGGATTGCTCGCATCCCGCAATAACTCCTAGCGGCCAACGGTCTCTTGTCGAAGATTCTGGCGCAATCATCACCACATCCCCCGGTGATATATTTTTAGACTTTTTGATCCATTTCTGTCTAGTTTGAAGTAAGGGTAGACATTCTCGCTTCCATCTATGCCAAAACGACGCGGTTAGATGCATAGCCTGCCTCCATCCGGAGTTGTATACCTCGACAGTATCTGATGAAGTCTCCATACTTATGCTTCGACAGACCAATAGTAGGTGATTTGGCGTGAGAGTTAGATGATCTCTACTATCCGATGTTAATGGTACAAGAGGTCGATCATTCAATATGCGTTCTACTAGGCTGATCCGGGACAGGTTGACTTGATTCAAGGATGGGGATTGAATTGATCTTACAGTTATTATTAGAGCCTTGACTGCATGGAAATGTGGGCAAAATCCTTATAGCCGGTACAATCTTAGTTTATATGAATGATCCTAAGCAACCGATCTGCTGCTGCTCTACCGAAAGTAATATTGTCTACTTAAATTGTGTTGTTCTGTAATTATCATTATAGGAGTATCTGAAGGATTAAACGGAATACTTTACAATTAATCTGATGCTCACTAGCAACTGGCCCTATTCAGGCAGGCAGGTAGCTACCCCAGGGTTCTAGTAGGAAGTCATGAACAGCGCGAAGTGGTTGCGCTATGCCATGAATCGACTTGAAGTTGGAATTCGTGGTGTGGTCATTGAACTGTTGGGTCCCAGTGGCTTAGTGATCTACGAGCTCGCTGGCCTCGTAACCAGAAGGTCCTGGGTTTGAACCCCCTGTGGTGGGTGCGTACTGATGAGGAGTCCCAAACTAGGCTGACGAAAAAAATGGCTGTCCAGTATTCCCTGCTGGTGGTTTTTCAATGGTTCTCTAACTGATGTCAGCTCATGGTGAAATCCTCCAAATAATTAAACTATATATATATATATCACTGAATTGAATATTCCCATAATTTATTCAGAACAAAATATTTAGAGCGAACAATTGTGGTTTCAATAAATTCTTCTTCAGGCTCTACAATTATAAATCCATTAATTTAAGCATACAATAGCCAGCCAGCCAGTAAAGGCAAATTAGAATCATATCAGAAAGTGTATTGTGGAACAAGTATAAGTAAGATGGGATGGAACAATAGTCAGATAGTTTTTTTTACTATGCATGGTCAATGAGAACATGGGACAAAATCAGATGAAGTAATTTAATTTAATGATGTGTGTGTATATATATAAATATAGTCAACAGAAAATACAGGTTTCGAGAGTGAGTGTAATCAGGGTGTGTGAGAGACAATATGAAAATAAACCAACGAATGGGGAGGTCCAGACATAAGTTCAAGGTTGAAAATAATGACAATAATAATGATGATTGTCAAATAATAAAGATGATATGGTGTAAAATTACAAGCACTATTGGTGAATGATTTTCAAATAATAATACTAATGAATATAATGAAGTGGAATGAACAGGATTTTGTAAATACGATAGCAAGTTAGAATAGCACTACTTAAACCTAAGGTAATAAAATCATAACAAAGGTCATCAAATCACAAAAGTCGAAAATGAACGATTGTCAATGAAACAGAGGAATAGAAGAAGAAGAAAAGAAAAGAAATTGTTAAAGGAATTTATAGTGTGAATGTTTATGGAGGATTTGTTGGCTTTACTGTAGGCCAAGGTAAACATAGTGGTTGAACATACTTCTTCTGTATGCAAAGAGATGGTCTTCTGGTATTAATAGCCACCGCTTCAGCTACTAATAGAAGACGTAGTCGAGCTCCTCTAGATAAATTACTAGGAACGCGGTAAATAACGGAGAAACGCCTGGTCACACATCATTAAATTAAATTACTTCATCTGATTTTGTTCCATGTTCTCATTGACCATGCATATTAAAAAAAACTATCTGACTATTGTTCCATCCCATCTTATTTATACTTGTTCCACAATACACTTTCTGATATGATTCTAATTTGTCTTTACTGGCTGATTATTGTATGCTTAAATTAATGGATTTATAATTGTAGAGCCTGAAGAAGAATTTATTGAATTTATATATATATATATATATATATATATATATATACATATATCATTTTAATCTTGCATTTGTTATTGCCATTCACAATCTTTAGAAATAAAATCTTACCAGGCTGTGTATAACGTGATTTTATTGCTTCCTCGACCAGTGATTTCTCTTTCATTTTATTGATTTCCTTGTACAGCTTTATATGTTCATCGCTTAATTGATTTGTACGTATTGATGAGACACAATGTGCACTAGCGAATGCTTTCACAGTGATACGATCACAGTCTAGTGGTTTTATAAATCTATAAATATATAAAGAAGTGGTTTGTTTTACAAGAAAGATGCTTGCAGTATTGAGGAGGGCACTGAAATCGAAAGAAACTAAGTTTAGTGTAAAATACCCTGGAATAGTTTTGTCCTTCGACCTTTCTTGGTCATTCCATATCTTGTGGATATCGGAGAAAATGTTCTGTTTTACCTACTACTTTCTTAAGAGGTTAAGACAGTTGGGTATCACTCAACATGTATGTAAGCGCAATATCGCTTGAAATTAAGTCACGCGTAGATAGAGGCTATTCCGGTCCAGAACAAACAAGAAGCCGGTCACTGTTTCTACGGTACTATTAATTAACAAATCAATAAATATATATACAACAAACCTTAACGGTTTCAAGAGTGCAATACACAATGCTTAACAGAAAGCAAGGAACCGCTATCAGAGCAGAATTACGTTAAGGCCAAAATTGCGAACTAGCCGGATCAGACACGACCGTTCAGGTAAGCAGTCAGTAGAAGAATGAACCCAAGTAAGAGATAGACAAAGCATAGGCACAAAGATAGAATTTAATTGGCTACTTAACCAATCAATAAATAAGATAAGATCAACAGAATAGTACAAAGTAAGACATGGGTCAGCAAAATAACAGTTCACAAAAATACTCTGATTGGGTTATGAGTTCAACTGTCTGACTAAACAGATCGAAGTAAACACACACACAGTTCATTAAACAAGGTGGGATAGACACGTCAGGCATGGATAATTGTGTTGCAACAATGCTAGGCTGATCCGGGACAGGTTGACTTGATTTAATGATGGGAATTGAATTGATCTTACACCAGCCCCCAAAATCAAACTGGGATTTTATGAATCATGTTACACCGAATAACCCTCGTGCCCGGCTCTCTCACTGTTTCCGGATATAAGCAACCAAAGTCCTCCACTGCCTTTCTCAACGCGAAGTTCGCACAGAAGGGTGATGAATTTACCTCAAACGGATGCGCTGTCATCTGAAACTCCTGCGGCTCTTCGTCTAGAAAACCATTTTTCCACCGCAGAAATCGTAATGCTCCTCGATCGTCTACTGGCACCTTCACTTGCATAAACACATCAGCTATGTCCGCGACTACAGCGATAGGCTTTTCTCGAAAGCGCAACAGAACACCAATAAGCTCGGAAATCGTATCAGGTCCTTGATATAGCTTATCGTTCAAAGAATAACCTCTAAAGGTTCCGGCGCAATCTAGAACTATTCTCAGTTTATCCGGCTTTTCTGGATTCATTACGGGATGATGTGGAAGATATCACCTTGGGCGATAGTTGGCCGCTAGCTGCTCTGGAGGTACTGGCAGGGCATAACCATTTTTAACATCGTATTTATCCCATCCACATATCGTGCTAAAAGGTTCTTGTCACGCGATAACCTCCGTTTCTGACTGAATAACCGATTTATGGCGACTCCACAATTATTTTCCGTTACCTTTGCTGGATCTTTCCATGGCAAGGGAATGATGTATTGCCCCTTTTCTAAGACGGTGCTTTGAGTAACCAGCTCGATTGCCTTACGATCTTCGATAGAAAATGAGTGTTCGTTTTCTTCAGTATCCCTAAACTCAGCTTCATCTAGCCTTTTGATGTCGTCTTTGATACTCTCTTCGCTGACTCGAGCGTAGTTGACAGTGCCTCTTTTCGTATTTCCATGAAGTGGCCCTAGCAAGACCCAACCGAGCAATGTCTTGATTGCGTAAGGTTGTTTGCGACTACCCAAACGCTGATCGAGGACCCAATGCGCTTCGGGAACATCGCAACCTATGAGCATTGTGACCCTTTTATCATCAAGTTCGCGGAATGGTAATTCCTGGAGATGTGGCCAGCGACGGGCCTCTTGTGATATCGATAGTGAGGGTGCATTGACTGGCAAGGATGGCAACGCGAACACTCTGTCAAGTTTTATCATTGCATTTTCATCCATTGATGCGACTTCCAGTTCACACATGTTGCCCTGAACCTGACTCGCACCATTGATTGTTGTCAAGGTCATAGACGATGGCGTGCCCTCTAGGCCTAAGCTGCTTAATAGATCCTTCGTAACCAAGGTAACGTCGGAGCCGTTATCCAGAAGGGCATAAGTTTCTATTTCCTTACCGTGGGCCCACACCTTGACGGGGATCACACCTAGCATAACTGCCGTTCCATAATGCATAGTAGCAGCGCATGTCGCCTGTTCTGCCACTTGATTTACGATCGGCTCAACATGTAGCAGTGGGTGATGTTTACCACTGCAATGGGCTTTGGAACACTTTACACCCGATACGCAGTGATCGATACGATGTCCGACCTCTAGGCACAAAAAGCATGCTCTATGGCGGCGGACGCAGCTCCATCTGTCTCGCACATCCAATCCAACGAACTTCTGACATGAAGCAGTAACATGGTCAGACCTACAGAGGATACACAGTCGCTTGTGTGCAGGGGTCCTTTCTACCTGTATTGCGAATGATGTGCCCCCATGGTGACCTTGTCTATTTAGTGAAACTTGGGCGTTCGGGCGGTTAAGGCCCTCTGAAACGAGGTGTGTCCGTATCGGCTTCGTGCCACTCTTGCCTCTGTAGAAACGAACTGGCAAAGATCCTGAAAAGATGGCTCTTGCCCTTCTTGATTCCTTGCGTCTGCTAGTCTGGCCCAATTCCTTCGAACTGCTATCGGCAGTATGCGTACTATTCTCTCGGGAGTTGTTACGGAATTTAAGTCCGACAAATGGTTCATTTCAGTTAGGGTAATCAGGCAATTCTGAAGCTGTATTGGTAGACGGGTTAGAGCTTCTCCATCTTCTGCCACAGGTCGTAGGCTTCTAATCATGTCTTCAATACGGTTTCGTGCGATGACGTGGATCTCTCCAAACAGATCCTGTAAGATACCCTTAGCTCGCGCATACGCGCTGTCAGGACGCAAGATTACGCATTCACGTATGGCTGCTTTAGCTCGACCCTTACAATTGTGCAACAGATATAACATTCTTTGACCAGGACATTTACTCTATTCTCGACATAATATTCGAATTCCTTGGTAAATCTCAAGTAGTCAGTACAGTTGCCATCAAAATAGGACATTTCAACCTTAGGCATGTCAAGTTTCTCTACGACCGCGCTCTTCCCGATCGTAACAGGAGCGTCCCCGCCAACCATTTCGGCACAGTCTTTCACATATCGTTCTAGCTGCTCCCGGTTATCAATAACACTGCCTTTTTCATATTCCTCAATGTTCCGTTCGTCGTCCGCGGCTAACTTCACACGCAGCTCGGCCATTTCGACATCATGTCTAGCCTTTAACAACTTTTTCTCTAACTCTAACTCCTGTCGAAGTTGTTTCTCTTTTAGCTGCGCCCTTAGTAGCGACGACTTAGCACTAGTTATTCGCGATAATGATGATTTCGAACTACTGACATGAGAGCCGGGGCACGAAAGGTTATCAACATGATCATTTATGCAAACGGGGACTTGCCGACTCTCCGACTGCTGCTCCGAAATATGCTTCCCTGATCTGGTTTGCATTGTCCCAAAGAAAAATTTATTTTCAACAACGTTGCGTGCTGCCAATTCACCAAAGTTTCTTCTGGATGAACGTTCAGTACTGACCAATTCAGTACGGGATTTTCTGTTTGACGTTCAGTACTGACCAGTTCAGTACGGTACTCTCCGACAATGTGTTTTTACAGTTTGATAACTGCTAACCATCCCACCTAGTCTTTCCTTGATCATGTGTTCATCTCGTCGTCAATTGTTGGAACACTGCCACACATATTGCAGGCCAACAATCGTTGTGTTTCTTGATATTAGGGCTGCCTTCGATTCGTTGGACAGAACTGTGCTCTGGAACTGTCTGTTAGGGAGGGGTGTATCTGAGAAGTTTGTTAACAACTTGAAAGCCCTATATAGAGAAACACCTCAGGTAGAATGAGGGCATACAACCAACTATCATCACTGTTCCAAACCAACAGTGGAATTAGCCAAGGTTGCCCAATCTCTTCACTCCTCTCTAACTTTGCCATCGATGACATCCTGGAGTCAGCTCTGAAGGAAGTGGTGTGAAGGTGGTGTAGATCTGCTCCCTGAAGATAGGCTTTTCGACCTCGAGTATGCAGACAATATCGTCTTACTGTGCGATAGCATGCAGGATCTCAGTTGGAACACCATTACCCATTGAGATTTGTAGGTACATCTAACCGATGAATCTCAGATGAGACGAACTGCACATCCTCAACTTCACTAATATCCACCATCATCCAAGATAACTTCATGTAGGCCCTAAAACATGATTAAACTGCCCATACTTGGAGCCGATATCTCAACAGTGGGTGAAAATTTCGCTTCAAAGTTAATCGATCAAAGGGAAAGCAATTAATTAAGCAACTTGTTAACTTACGCAGTCTCCAGTTTTTCAAGTGCTAGTCGATTTTTCTCTGTCTCCCATGCCGTTTCTCGATAGACTAAATCGACTGCAGCTTTACGATCTTTGAGTAAATCGTTGCGAATTTGAGGAACTAAGTTAAACTCCTAAAAAAAAGAAAAGCACTTAATGAAATAAATGGTTACATTTTGTTAGGTTAAAATAAAAAGGTGACCTCACATGATGTAAAAGAAGGATATTAGGTGAATTTTACTTTCCTCTTATTTTTAGATCTAACGCCAAATGACAAGTCATTCACAATGGAAGGCTCAGCGAAACCTTTGGAGTGGAAATAGGAGTAGGGCAAGAGTGCCCACTGCCACCGATGATATTCCTGATAGTGATGGACTGGATGGTGGAACAGACTGTTAGGAATGACAGGATGAGTGCACGCTGGACCGACACGAATACTCTAGAAGATTTCAACTTCACGGCCGATTTATGTGTAATGTCGAACGAACTGGAGGATCAACAGCTGAAAACCAACAAGCTAACAGGAAAAGCAGTGAAAACAGGACTTCAAGTGAGCATAGAGAAGACAGAGGTAATGGAGTTTCCTAACCAACGAAAACAACAACCATCAATCATCCCAAACGGGAGAAATGTGCAGGAAATTCACCTTTCTTACTCAACTGACCTGCTCTGCATCGTTTTAACTACAGTCAGAGACACAGATGAGGATATCAAAGCCAGTTACCGTTGGAAAAGTGAGACAGACATGCATTCCTCTGAAGTCAATGTGAAAATCTGCTGTACTCAGCATAACAGTAACAAGATTCAGATTTTCGTCACTTAATGTGAAATTAATGTGTCATGAGAAGCATTTTCAGAAGGCTATTGCTGACTTTGATATAAGTATAAAACTTGGGCACTGTGGTGGTGGAGTCTAACTCCATTATAGATAACATCTTATTCTGATAAATCACACAGTGCATTTTACGGTAACAACTACTGATGACCACATTTCGAGCACAATTTATTGCTGCTCATAATCTCATCAAGGTGCTCACACAACTTTCTTGCTTCATTTATATTCTTGAGTTTAAAATGATTAGACATCTGGATAAAATCAATATAAGACTTGCGTGAAACAGAGAGGAAGACAAAGTACATTCGGAAATCATACTAGTGTTATTAGTAAAATAACGTAGGATGGAGAATAAGATGACTGTTGTTAGTCAATAATATGGGAAATAAGATGCTTTCATAGTAAAATAAATAAATATTCTGTTAGAATGTCATAATGTGAATTGAAATATGCTTTAATTTATATTTATTATCCTTTTCTGATTTAACTAGTGGTAATAATATCTTCTATATCTCTGGTATTTGCTTTGAGTCATTTCTGTTGCATGTATTGGGTGTGTTGACTTGATGAAGCAGGATTCAGTAATCAACTTCTCTCTATCTCCAGCTACTTATATTACTTCTTAGAATTTTGACTCTGTCCTACCCACTCTATTTTGTGGTTGCGTGTCAATGCATGCATGCGTTGCAATTCCTCAGTTTTTTTCTGAATTACTTAACTTTGCTGCGTCAATCATTCTACACCTAGCTAAATTCTTATGCTCTGACAGACAATCTCACTACTCCCAATCCACTAGTTTGACTGACCTATGTAGTTGACTTAACTCACAGTCATTGAAAGATATTTTGTAAATTATATTATTTTGTCTAATTGGGTCCACCGATAGTGTCCTTTAGCCTACACAGCTTATCCTACCTGAGTGATTATAGGTTTCCAGGCCATAGGTGTTAGGAACTTCCTGGAATAATTTGAGTGCCGAGTCAGATTGATTCACTATAAATTATTTTAATTAATCCAAACGTGTTAAGAAAATCAAAACAAGATTTTTTCTGAACGTTTCGCTGTGTAAGCCGCAGCTTCTTCAGCAGATTTATTCGGATAAAAATCCGAATAAATCGACCTGAGTGAGTTTGTAGGTTGAAATGCCCCCCTAATTTCTGCTTTATTGAGAATCCTGTGAAGGGGAGGTCTCAGATGTCCCCTCCTTATATGGTAAAACTTATGTAGATGCCTTATATTCTCCCTTAATTATGTTATCTTTATTAGTATCACCATTATTTCTATTTTGCTTTTGACCTTTCTTGATCTTCCTAATGAATTTTATAGGATAGTTATTTAACACCAACGCTTCTTCTTCTATCTGTTTCGTTTCATCGTTTTTTTGTACAACTTAGTGCTACCACTCGGAATGTTAGACACTTAAGTAAGCCTGCCTTCACAGATAGATAACGGATGAAATGAATTAAAATCTAAATATCCATTAAAATGCGTTGGCTTCTTATAAATGCTAGTGTGCAGTTAACCTTCTTCTGTTCGTTTTATTTTGCAATCTTACATAATAATAATGGGTAATTCTCCTTATTCGTTTTCTGATGCAAATGTGAATTTTATTCCCTTTATTAGTGAGTTTACATGTGTGTGAAGAAGCTAGAGATATGTTCTGTTTTTAACATTGTGTAAGAAAGTGTCATCTACATATCTCCACCATATTTTAGGTGTCGGATTAAATGTATTTAGAGCAATATTTTCCTAACTGTCCATAAATATGTCTGCTACGATAGGGGATATTGGTGATCCCATTGCTACTCCTTCTGTTTGTCTATATATTTTGCCTTGGAATTTAAAGATGTTAGATGTAATGCATAATAATAGTAGTAAAGCCTATTTTTAAAGACTTCTTCTATTTTAAAAGTAACACATCCCATCCTGATATCGATTAGATACAAGAGTAATGGAAACTCCTGAATTTTAAACTCTTTATTTTCAGTTTGGGCTAATTTTGTGCTATTACGCTGTGTGTTTTTTTCATTTTATGTAGGATCAATGTCATTCATAGAGGAATGCATGAATTTGTGCATGCTCATGAGACAGTAGAAACGTTTAACAAGGCAGTTACAGTTTAAATAAGTTATTAGTTACTGGACAATAACCAGAGTCAGGTAATCTCGTCCACAGTAGTTGTTGACCTCAAACAATATTCTTAACTACCTGAAGCTAAGCTGAATGACCCTCACTACTATTACTACTACTGGGAAGAAGGAAAGACCGATGAGTCTCAAAGAAGATGTTTGTTAGGACAAACGCATCGTAGGTACACCAATTTGGAATAGCTTATCTTCAGTGCTTTATTTGCACATCATTTGCACATCGGTCGAATATGACCCACCGCATTCGATAGCTTATTGAATTCTGCACACTGTTGTAACGTTCTTCTCACAGTTCCCTTCTTCGATTGCCTTTTCCAGTTCCCCAAAACACATTATTTGTGCGTTGGTTGCACAGCGGTACAATCCTTACCAACCACGTATGTGGTCCTCAATTTGATCGCCGGCCACCGACGCCCCCCATTTACCTGACTAAGCCAGTAATAAGACTGATAAAGAGGGAAGGTTGGGCATGTGGATGGCTAACAACCCCATATTGTAAAAATAAAAAGCACTGCTACCAACACTTCAAACCTCTAGCTTGGAGCCGTCCTATGTTCCACTGATAACGTGATGGAATGAAAAAAAACATATCGTTACTATTTTGAATTCGTTTACTGATATACTACGTATATTTGACTATAAGTAGCAATCGCCATACTACTACTATGTGTGATGTTGAATTTGTATAGTTAAACCATAACAGCCATCCCATTACTCGACTTTTGACAATATTTTAAGTTTTAAGTGTTACAGCCAAATCAAATTTTGCCCCTTCCCTTCTGGATTTGCTTAATAAGTTCGATAGAGTCGAGTGTAAGTAACAGATTTCCTGGAGTCATCCAAACATGTGTATATGTGGGGAACGGGGTGGTAGCTTGACGGGATAACTGGTCTTTTGGGAGGACTGAGAATTTACGAGTAGGTTAAAGAACAGAATCGCATGTATAATTGAATCTCAGAACATCATGATCTACAGTCAATTTTTAACAATTTTGAAATTCGTATTGGTCTTTAATTTTGACTAGGATATCAAAGCGAGGATCGAGAAAGCAAAGGAAGCAAGCTTTTATCTCCCTCAGGTCTGTGTGGAGGTCAAGAACACTCAGGATGAAAAATGAGATCCGAATTTTCAACTGCAATGTGAAGTCACTGCTACTTACTATACGGATCAAAGACTTGGTGCCGCGTCACGAAGAGCATTTCGAACAAACTACACACCTTCGTCAACAGCTGTCTTTGCCCAATACTACTCAAAGTCAGATAGCCGGCCAGAAACGATCAGCAACAGGGAGAGTTCTCTGACAATGAGAGACATCACACACCAAGCCATCGCTCTGGTGAAACCCCAATGGGAAGCAGCGAGTTGTTCGTCAGTGCGAGGATGACACTGAGGGGGTCATGTGAAGAGGAGATGAAAGCATGTGGGTAGACGTGGAGCCAGGTGAAAACGTTGGCGGAGAACTGAACACAATGGGGACGTGTGGCTGAAGCCCTATGTTCCTCTAGGAACTAAAGGAGACAATAATAACAATAATTCAATTCTCACTGATTGTTCAGGGTCAGCGGTAAAGCCTATAGACTGAATAATTGTGGGTTGTGACTCAAATGTTTAAGAGTCACCTCCTGACTTGTTTAAATGCAAACAACAGAAGTCTTTTTAAAAAAAACAATAAACATTCAAAACAAAAGTACCGAAATAGGAAGACGAATTCTTTCTGGTAGACGTTCATTACGATCTTTGAGTTTTTTAAAACGTCTTCTTAATTCAGCAACTTTTAGTCTGGTTTCTGCTTTCTTCTGCTCTGCCTGTTCAATTAGACGATCATATTCTGATTTCTGTTTATATTCTTCAATACTATACGCTTTAGGATCAGTTATATCGTCAACTTTCACACTGGCATCCTGTGAAAAAATAAGAAAACAAAACAAAATGGTTCAGAGTCAGTATTGATCATTAATCAAAAAAATCCAGTTACCAGGACAAAGAAAGACTGATAACCGCTTCTTTCTGGACGCATAAATCAGGTGTCAGGCGCTTGATGGAGATTGTTGCTTCAGCAAACTTGAGGAGAATTGAGCTCTTTTGCTTACTGATAATTTTGAACGACTTTTCGACGTCCACCTGATGACCGGTAGTGTCGAGGAGATGCCTGGCGATGGATGGCACTGTTTAAAGCATTTGTTCCCTTTAGACATAAGCTTTTTGGTACATGTTCAGAAAATCGTAGATATCCCCTTCTTCTCTCTGTCCTTCCAATGTAACTGCCCCCGCAGATACATGTAAATTTGTATATACAGCTGGAGTTAACATGAGAAGGATCTCTATCGATTTTTGATTGCACCAATGAGCAAGTTGTTTGATAAGCGGGGAAGAGCTTAGCTGCAGCATAGACTATGGCTAGTGATGATTTTTGTTTAAAATGAACTCTGTGAAAGTATGTTAAAATTGTTTTCGTAGATATATTTATTAATGTCTTTGGCCTGTAAGCAGCTGACGAGAAGGCAACGGAATTAAAGATGGTTCCATTTTATTCTGCTAAAGCTGTAGTTTTTGCTTTGTTCAAATTCATTAAGGGGAATAAATGTATGACAATATTTTTCAGCAGTATTTTCAGGTATATATATATATATATTATACCGACTAAGACTGCTCCTATTGTAAACGTAGAATTTGGACATTATGGTAGAATACGATTCCATAGTAGACAAGTTGATTATGTGGTAAGAGCTGTCTGCTAGCCAAAAATTGTAGACAACAATATACGTCAGTATTTACTTCCCTAATCGGGGTCATGAGAAAAAAAGCAATAACAAAGCTTAACCTTGAGAAAGTCAACAACCAATCAGAGTAGACTTAGCGGGTACAAATACAATTCGCAGATATATGGCTTAACTTTCTGAGAAACGGTTACAAGTAGTACAGAATAACCCTGAGCAAGAAAACAACCAGTCAGAAGACGCTTTTTCTCTGCTAACAATAACGCTAATAATAATAATGTACATAAAAATCTATAAATATCTCTTGATTTTCTCAATAAACGATCTGTTGCCTGGCCCTTGTCCTCTGTCGTTACAAATATGTCGACTTTTAATTTAATTCAGATTAAAACTTACAAATGTTGATGGAATTCTTGCACGATATTCTTTCATTTCTTTATCTTGTAATTCTTCTGTCATTAATTCACAGACAAATAGAGTTCCATCACTTCCAGCACTTAATAGAAATCTTTAGGATAAAAATAAAACAAACAAAGAATGAATCAATAAATGTTGTGATGTGCTTAATTGAAATAGAATCACAACATTCTAACAAATTACTTATTTTGACTATAAAAACACTCGTCTTATTTCCCATCTAATTGTATTTGATCAATAACACTCATATTATTATTTCTGAATTTACATTATCCTATATTGATTTTTATTCAAATGTCTAATCATCAGTTCCATACATGTATATAAATGAAGGAAAAAGTTGTGTGAGCGGTGCCTTGATATGATTATGAGCAATAATTTGTGCTCGAAAAGTGGTCATCAGTTAATATTACTGTATAACACACTGTGTGATTTATCAAATAAAATCTTATCCATAATGGAGTTATTTGTATTGCTACTGATTGTTTTCTTGACTTGAACTTTGACCCTTTGTGTGTGAGGTTTACTTCTTATTGATTGGTAAATTTTATTTGTTTCAATGCGTCTATTGATTGACGACTCATTGGAATACCGGGCAGCCTTCCTGAAATTCCCTAGCATTCTTGGTGTTTCCTCTGTCTAATATTTGAAAGTTGGTTTTCCGTGGTTGTCTGTATGCAGAGATATGAGCGAGGGAGTGGATGTCATGTCTTTTGACGCCAAGCTTACCAACCGATAAGAAGGAAGTCTCACACACAAAGGGTCGAACTTCAAGTCAAGGAAACAATCAATTCCAATACCACAAGTAGCCTTGAGGGTGTGAAAACACACGAAAACAACCAATCACGAGGTTGTAGGTCATCTACCAGGAGAGATGACTTATAAACTCCTGGAGAATTCTAAAAGCTCACTTCAATTCAAATTGAAGTATGCGCTGAAGGTGTTGCCTAGAAGAGAGGGGCAATGAAAGCTTCGTAAACCAACTATCCAGCTCAGAGAACACAACCACATCAAAATTCAGGCTATGATATTCTTCTAGTTCTGATTTAATAAAATAGAAATTTTGTCATGAATCGAAATCCGTTGAAGAGAATTATGGAAAAACAGTGGAACATTGAACGCCTGTCTATGTACTCATCTAATCCTGAATTTGATTCCTTTTGAAGGCATAATGGGTGGTTGAGTGCACTGGCCAAATTACTTATTCGAGAAGTTGTGTTGGCCTTAATGAGCTGATTTTTGAAAAATGCTCAGCAAAGATACTAAAGAATTCATATGAACTTTCGTCAAGATTTGGCCGAATAGCTGAAAAATATTTGGGCGCCAAGTGAGAAGTAGACATTTACAAAAAATTATATTTGTTAAATCTCAGCGAAATTGAAATGATCAATTCCAACGTTTCTAGCTTTCGGCAATCTAGTCCGAACTTCTTCAGGGAAATTAATCGAAATTAACATAACAGAGGGTCATATATAAAAGGAACATCACTTGTTTTTGAAACTTTGTCCAGTCATGAGTCAAAAAACAGGCATCAACATGTATAATAAACAAAATAATATATATAAAAAAGCTAGCTGTCTTTTACCACAAATGTTCGCGTTCTGTCTTCAGTTTTAAGTTGGCATAATATGGCGAGCAACATATGGGTTAGAAACGGAAGTTGATCGATGAGTTCGTGAAGTGACATTGATTGAGATGGCTAGGACATGCGTTACACATGCCAAGCCACTATCTTCTTCGACTAGCCATATTAGATAACATTAGGATTAGACTGGAAAAAAGTTAGTGTTTGTCTACACAAGACATGATATCATTCTATGACAGTTGGTTTTAGCGAGTCATCTAGAGTAGTATAAACTACTAGGTTAGTGTCTTTCGGATGCAAGTAACCAATGTCATGTGTGTTATGGTTTAGAACTGCTAACAGTATCGAAGATGCGCTCACTCTTCATGACCTTCTAGATCCATCAAGACTTCAAGTTCACTCCATTTTAGATAAGATTTTGTTTTGATAAAATCACACAGTGTAGTGTACAGTAATATTAAGTGATGACCACGTTTCGAGAACACATTTTTCCCACTCATAATCATATCAAGGCACTCACTCACACAACTTTCTTGTTTCATTCATATACATTAGTGAAACTGATGAGATATTTGAATAAAATCAATATAAGACACAGTACATATAAGTGTAATCAATCAGATACAATCAGATGGGAAATAAGACGAGTGGTTTTATAGTTATAATAAGTAACTTGTTAGAATGTAATTATCCTCTGATTTGACTGGTAATAGTATCTTCCATATCCCTCGTATGTGCGTTGAGTTACATCTATTGCATGTGTTGATTCCGTGTAAACTCGATGAACCAGGCAGGATTCAGTAACCAGTCTCTACTTCTCTCCACCTGCCTATATTATTTTTCGGAATTTTGACTCCGTCCCACCCACACCATTGTGTGGTTGTGTGTTAATGCATGCAGTGCAACCACTGAGCTTTTTTTTCATTAGTTATCCTCTCGAGGTCAACCACATAATGAGGGAAGGGACATCTGAGACCCTATGTAGGATTCTCAATAAGGCAGGAATTAGGGTGGCATTCAAACAAAGAAACTCACTCAGAGACAAGCTCTGTAGGCTAAGAGACCCGGTGGACCCAATTAAACAATATAATATAATATGTGTGCGTCGGTGGCACAGTGGTTAGGACTCTCGCCGACCATGCACATGGTCCGGGGTTCGATCCCGGGCCACGAACGCACTCCTTTACCTCGCTAAGCCAGAAATAATACTGGTGAAGAGAAAAGGTTAGGTATGAGGCTAGCAACCCCATCCTGTAAAAGTTAAACACTGCTACAGAAAATTCAAGCCACTAGGTTGAAGCCCTATGTTCCACTGAGGAACGTGAAGGAAAAGAAAAAAAAAGTAACTGAATCCGTGAAGATAACTAATTTAGATGTCTCCACAATTAAACCAACCAACACAAAAATAATTGCAAGTCTTCAATCGTGTATACACACGCCTGACTATTATGTGATTTTTCTCTACGTAGGTGAGGACAAAACGGAGTAAGTGAATTATTTAGGCTACCCACCTGATGCTGAACAACTAATAACCATCAGTTAAAACTATTCATCACTTACTTTTCATCATACGTTAAAGCTATCCGATTAACACGTCCCCGTTGATTATCATGCAATCGAAATATCCAATAACCTTTAAAACTTGTTAAATCATACGCTTTGTCTAACAACTGGACACGTATAACACCATCATCATAACCAATCAGAACACGATAACCAGAATTAGAAAATGTCCAATATGTGACACAGGTGTCCTTTTTCTCTGACATACGAACTGCTTTATTTGGCTCAGTGACAGGTATTCTATCAGCAAGTGTAATACTCTGCGGATCAATAATTTCATGAGTGCCTTTTTTGGCAATATGTTCAGTATTATTAGTGTCGGTAGTTATCGTTGTTGTCGCTGTGGTTGTAGCTGTTGTTGTTGTTGATGTTGCCGATGACTGATCCACTTCTGTTTGACCACTTTCCATATCATGTTTAATTTGATTTTGTTTTTTAATATTTGCCTTCTCCTTACGAACTTTTTCAACGGCTTCATCAATTGTCAGTACAGGACCGCCTAGTTTACATTTATATAGATAGCCTTTATCGAATTCCCCCTAAAAATGCAGAGATTATAATAAAGAAAAGAGGGGAGAAGTGTTAATAGATTAAGAAAACAAAATTTATCATGTGTACAATATACAGCTGTACGACAATGGCACATGTCAAGTGATCCACAACGAAAAACTCAGCGAGGCTTGTGGAGTAAACACAGGAGTCAGACAAGGGTGCTTATTATCACCAATGATATTCCTAATTGTGGTGCACGACTGGATTATGCGTCAGACATTGGGAAACGAGAAGACAGGGATATCCTGGACCGACATGAAAAACCTAGAAGATCGGGATTTCGCGCGTGGGTGATTTATGTTTGAGGTCACACAAAATCGAACACTTACAAGCGAAAACCGACAAACTGGTTGAAGAAGCAGCAAAGACAGGACTCCAGGTGAACACAGACAAGACGGAGGTTATGAATATAACCAACAACAACAACAGCAACATCCAGTGTCAATCACAATCAACGGGAGGGATTTGAAAGAGGTTACTTCATTCACTTCACTGATCTAGGGAGCATTGTCTCAACTACAGGAGGAACGGACGAGGATGTCAAATCGAGAATCGGAAAGGTGAGAAACACATTCATCAACCTGAAACCAATCTGGAAATCTTCGTCACTCAGCATCAACAACAAAATTCGGATTTTCAATACAAACGTCAAGTCAGTCAGTTCTTCTATACGGATCAGAAACTTGGCGGGTCACAAAGAATATTTCCAACAGCCTGTTACAGGGAGACCTTTATCAACAACTGTCTTCGTTCTATACACTGAAGATCAGATGGCCGGAAAGAACAAGAACCAACAAGAAACTGTGGGAACAAACAAAACAAGAACCAATCGCCAAGCAACAAATATGCAGGAGAAAGTGGAGATGGATTGGACACTCGCTGAGGAGGCCATTGGGTGACATCGCGCGTCAGGCCAACGCTCGAGTGGAACCCGAAAGGGAGGCGGCGAGTAGGACGTCCGAGGGTGACATGGAGAAGGTCGTGTGAAGAGGAGTTGTAACAGTATGGACTAACATGGATGCAGGTGAAAAGTACAGCAGAAGACAGAAGCAAGTGGAGACTAGTAGTTGAAGCCCTATGTTCCACTAGGAACCCATGGGAACAATAATGATAATAATACAGCGGAAGAATGCTCGCCACCAATCACGCCTCATGTGGTTCGGGGTTTGATCTTCCCCTCCACCACCGACGCACTCCTTTACCTCACTAAACCGGTAATAAGACTGGTAAAGAGGAGATTTTGGGCATGAGGTTGACTAGCAATCTCATTCCGTATAAATAAACCCCACTGCCACCGAAACTTCAAGCCTCTATCTTGAAGACGTCCTATGTTCTACTGCGAACGTAAAGGAATAAAACAAAAATACAACCAGAACATTATTTTAGCTCTACCCTCGACATATTGGTACTTGGTAAGACCTTTTCTTCCTTGATTCTATTGCCTGCCTTTATCGAATAAATAATATCCTAATCATTGCAAGGTAGTGTCGAAGATTCCGTACTTGGGGCCGACATACTAACAGATCTCAAGTATTTCGTTCCGATATATAAAAATCGATCAACGAGTAATTCAAGGTGAAAGACAAGCTGTCGCATAGGGCCACCACTTCAACATGCATTGCATATACCAGTTTACTTACTCGTATGGAGCTGAATGCATTGGCCGTACCATGCTCACCCTTGTAAAATGCACTCGGGAACACTATCCAGCATAATTAGCAATGGGAGAACACAAAGGTGTACACACTTCGGTAACACAATATCCGCTGAATTCTGGACATTCAGCTCCATTTGATGAAAAGTCCTTCAAAGTCATATACAAGATCCTATTAAAACCTATCAAAGGGAATGAAATCAAGACATCTACGAGTAGCTGAGGCACTAGTGATCCTAAAGCTCAAGCTCACTCTATGTGTTCAAGAGGAAGACGTCCAACCGTTGTCCCTACCATGGCCATCATGAAAAGTCAGTCCCACCAAAAATGATTATCCTATTACCCCTTTCTTATCCAACCTTCCTGTTTATTTCTGTTATTTTTTTTACGATTTAATTACTATCTGCATTACTAGATTCGGTTTCTGTTTTTTATTTTTATTATACGTCTGAACTTCCTGCCTATTTTGTTAATACTACGTCCTTAATCCGTAATTTGTACGAGTTGTCCAGGAATTATAATCTTATTTTGCCTTTAATGCCCTATCTTCCGGATTATTGCACTCAGTAATTTTAATAATTTAACCTCTGACCAGAAATAATTCTGGAACCTTCTCACACACTCAGTATAAATACACTAATGTACGTCTGTCTAGTTGGTGACTTCGTCAAAAATAAAATTTTCTTCGCTGCAACAATCTTTTTAATAGCTCCTATGATCTAATGTCTATATTCCGTAATTCAAGGTAATACAGGTGTCTCTCATCATCCAGCTGGCTAATGGAAAGCGGTTTGGCTAGGTTCAAGTCTCCGAAATGGGTACATCCACCTGAAGAGTACAAAATGGGACGAAATGGAAGTTTTGGATTTCACTGGCAGCTAACCGTGTTCAACTAGTCGTTTCCCATTTATACTCCACTATTGGAGTTAATAACGGGATGTCACTTAAGGTACTTCTATCTGTCTAACCAATCCACCTCCATTTCCAACTGTTCACTTCTTGGGTATTAGATTTATAGAGTACCTTATGGCATATCCTTTCTGCCCTGCCAACCATCTAATCCTTACTAACGAGCCAGTAAAGACATGTGTTGGTGAAAGCCCACTGCATACCGTGATGCGTCAAGTCTCTGAACTATATAAAAACATTGTCTAGACCTTAGTGTTTAAAATTCGGATATTGGTCCCTTTGCTGCATAATGTACTGCGGATCTTCACTCTGATTTCAAAGTGATGAGCTCTTATGGATAAAATTTCATTTTGATAAAGTCACACAGGGTTATACAGTAAAATTTACTGATGACCAGGTCCTGGGCACATGTGTCGGTGGCATGGCGGTAGAATGCTCGCCGCCAAACACGCCTCATGTAGCTCGGGGTTCGACACCAGGCCAACTCACTGCTTTATCTCGTTAAGCCAGTAATAAGACTGGTAGAGATGGAAGTTTGGGCATGAGACTGGCTGACAACCCCATCCTGTAAAAATAAATAAACACCATTGCTACTGAAACTTCAAGCCTCTAGCTTGGAGTCGTCCTATGTTCTACTGGGAACGTAAAGGAATAAAAAACGTTCTGAGCACAATTTGTTGCCACTCATAATCATATCAAGACACGCACATAACTTTCTTGCTTCATTTATATACATGAGTAAAAATTGATGATTAGACATTTAAATAAAATCAGTAATATAAGATAAAGTACATTCTTGATAAAAATATTAGCGTTATGAATAAAATACAATAAGATCGGAAATAAGACGAGTGTTTTTATTAGTCATAATAAGTAGCTTGCTAGAATGTTATAATGTGTGTGAAATTGAAATAGAGTTTTAAGATTATTTATTATCCTCCTCTGGTTTAACTGACTGACTAGTGGTAACAATATCTTCCACATCTCTGATATTTGCATTGAGTCACTTCTATTGCCTGTATTGTGTTGGGTGTAGACTTGATGAACCAGGATTCAGTAATCAACCTCTCTCACTGTTCACTTACTTATATTACTTTTTAGGATTTTAACTCCGTCCCACCCACACCATTGTGTGGTTGTGTGTTAATGCATGCAGTGCGATTGCTGGGTTTTTTTCTAAACTACTTATCTTCGAGGGTGAGGTCAATCATTCTAACATTAGTTAAATTCTTATGTTCTGACAGACAATCTCACTACTCCTGATCTACTAGTTTGACCATTGTAGTTGATTCAATTCCATTATGGGTGAAATTTGTTTTGATAAAGTCTCACAGTGTGTTATACAGTAATGTTTACTGATGACGTATCGAGCACAATTTATTGCCACTCATAATCATATCAAGGTAATCACACGACTTACTAAATTCATTTATATAGTTCCATTGTTTTTCACTTGATTTTCACTTGATTTGATTGGTAGTATTATTTTCCATATTTCGGGTATGAGTGATGAATCATTCCTATTGCATGTTTTGGGTGTAGATTCGATAAACAAGGATTCAAAACAAGCAATAAAGGTTAATAAAGCAGGATTTAATGAATTCATCAAATTTCGGTAGAACTCGTCAGCTGAATACTCTACATACACGGATATATACTTTTGAAGTTACATTGGGAGATATAGGACTGAATTCTTTACATACACGGATATATATAGTTTTGAAATTACATTGGGAGATATGGGACTGATAAGTAAATAAACTACATTGAATTAGTCATGCAGAAAGACAGGTGCGAATGTTTTTTCCAGGTCATGTGCAATTAGATAAGGGGAGAGAGAGTATGGGAGATCAAAATTAAGATAAATTGCATTACGCTTCAATTACATCACTTAGATAAACAATTAGACATTAGAGAATTTAACAAGAATTGCAACCAGAGGGATGTCAATAGTAATAGTTATAATAACAATAATATAATATAACAATAATAATAATAATAGTGTTGAAGTGGGTTAAGATAATGCTACTGATAAAGGATAGTTTTAAATGAATCAAGAATAATAATAATGAGAATAATAATAGTAATAATAAAATAATAATAAGAGGTAGAATTGTAAGTAAAACATATTACCATGGTAGATTCAGAGTCACGACCATCTCCTTTTGCACACAGAGACCTGGTTTGTAAACTCGAATTGCACAAGCCTCTGCAATTGCAAGCATCTTCTTGTTTCTTTGTCTGCTGACAATGGTGAATGACTTGACTGCGTCGATATCATGCCCGTAATCCACAAGATGCTTTGTTATTGAGGATTTTGGCACTTTGAACTCGGCTGTTTTCAACCATTTTGGCAAATGCTCCATCATGCGAGTAGACAATCTCCTTTCCGTACGACCTATGTATTTGCTCCCACAAACACACTCAAATTGATATACGCAGTTTGAAGTGTCGAGGATTGGCGACTGGTCTTTCCCAGATTGTTGAAGCACTCGCTTAGTGGTGTTAAGGAAAACAAGTTTTGCAGCATAATAAGTTCTCTTGATGGCTTTGTCGAGTCTTCGTTTGACTACTTCCTGTACATCATCTCCTTTGAACGGCAAGTTGATGTAGACAGGTTTCTTCGGAACTGTTTGGATTGTTTTGCAGCGGGTGTTTTCTTTAGAGTATTTATTAATGAACTTCTCAGGGTATCCATTCTTAGATAAGATATCCTTCAGGGATTTTGTTTCATACTCAACAGTACTGTCAGAACAAATTTTTCGTACTCTATTGAACAGTGTTCTGACTAGGTTCTTTTTGTACTGGATTGGAACAAAACTCTTGAAATGCATGTACTGTCCTGTCCATGAGGACTTTCTAAATATAGATCTTTCGATTGTGCCATCATTCATTTTCGCCAGAAAAACGTCTAGGAATTTGATAGTATCATTTTCCTCGTGTTCTACTGTGAAATTGAGATTTGGATGGCATGAGTTGAATTTTATCAGCATGTCTTCGGCTTTTGATCTGCTTCCACAGGCAATAAAAATGTCATCAACATATCTTAGGTATAGATCCGTTTCTTGTATATGTTGTTGCAGGGTACCGGTTTCTAGGCGTGATAAGAATAAGTCAGCGAAAAGTGGTCCCAAGGGGCTTCCCATTGCGACACCATCAACTTGACGGAATAAACGCCCGTCGAATTGGAATTGGACATTTTTGGTACATAAAAGTAGCAATTTCCTCAATTCCGACGTTGGAATGGGTATGTCTTCAGCTTCTTCACATATGAAGTCTATAGTCTCAATGACTGGCACATTTGTGAAGAGGGAGGTAACATCGAAAGAGACTAAATGTTTATCAGATACGTTGAAATCTTTGATTTGCTCGACAAACTGGAATGAATCAGAAACGATATACTTCCCAAAGCGTTTCCGCAGGGGCTCCAACATTTCACATAACCACTGTGCTAATTTGTGGTATGGTGAGTTTATCATAGAGAGTATGGGTCTTAATGGCGCTCCTGGTTTGTGTATTTTAACACGCCCGTATAGTTTTGGGATTTGTGACCCGATCGGCTTGATATTTCTATATGTGTTTTCATCAATGTATTTATTTTTGAATAGTTGGCGTAGCTGCTGTACAATTTTCTTTTCGATCGACAACGTTTGATCTTTTGCTTGATTGTCCCATTTGAATTTGGATTCATCGGAGAGAATTTGATGCATTTTTTCGAGATAATCTGTCTTATTCATTAGCACTACGCTTTGTCCTTTATCAGCTTGTAGAATAACAAGATTATTGTCTCTTCGGAGCTTGTTTAATGATCTCCAGTGCTCTTTGGTGATGTGCGACTTTTGATTCGTTGGCATGATTCGAAATTGGTGAGCAATATCCACCATCTTTGCTTTCAACCAGCTTTCGCTGTCGTTGGACGTGGCATGTAGCCCCATAAGTTGATCATAAAGATTTTCGAATTGGCATTCGATATCAATTTGCTTTATGTTTTTCATCGGAACACAGAAGTTGAATCCCATTGACAGAATTTCCACTTGTTCTTTTGATAGGGAGACATCAGATAAATTGTGAAACAAGGATTCAGTAATCAACCTCTCTCTTCACCTACATAGATTACTTTTTAGAATTTTAACCCTCTCCCACCCTATTGTGTGGTTGTGTGTTAATGCATGCATTGCGATTGCCGAGCTTTTTTCTAAATTACTTATCTTCTCTGGGTCAACCATTCTTATCTTAGCTAAATTCTTATGTTCTGACAATCTGAATACCCCTGACCTACTACTTTGACCTATGAATCCTTGTTCATTGAATCTACACCCAACACATGCAATAGGAATGAATCATCACTCATACCTGAAATATGGAAAATAATACTACCAATCAAATCAAGTGAAAAACAATGGAACTATATAAATGAATTTAGTAAGTCGTGTGATTACCTTGATATGATTATGAGTGGCAATAAATTGTGCTCGATACGTCATCAGTAAATATTACTGTATAACACTGTGAGACTATCAAAATAAAATTTACCCATAATGGAATTACACTCTACCACAGTGCACAAGTTTTATTCTTATATAGTTGATTCAACTCACAGCAATTACAAGGTAAATTATATTTTTTTGTAAATTATATTATTTAATCTAACTGGTTCAACCTACAGGGTCCTTTAGCCTGACAAGTACTCACGCTATGTCGTGAATTGGCAGAAGTGAAAATTCATGGACTGGCCATTGAACAGGTGTCCAGTCTACCAGCTTGCTCGCCTTGTAACCAGAAAGTCCTGGGTTCGAGCCGTGGCGGTGGGTGTTTACTGCCAAAGAGTCCCAAGACTAGAAGGAAATAGCTGTCCAGTACTCCCTGCTGGTTTTCCAGCGCTTCTATAACCGATGTCAGCTCATGATGAAATCCCTCAACCAATAAAAAAACCCTACAAATCAATACGCCGAGTGAAACATGGGTATTCAAGCAAGAGCTCCAAAGTTTCGATAGCAGTGGTGTCATTATTTTTTCTCTCTACGTGGTGGGGGTGAGTTGCTAGCCTAACACCCAACTTTCCCTGTTTACCGGCTCAGCAAGGTTTTGGAGTACGTCCGCCGGGAGTCAAACCCTGGACCACGTGCGTGTTTGGCAAATGTTCTACTACCGAGCCACCGACGCTCATATATATGTAACTACAAAAGAGTAATATTAAAAAATAATATTAATAATAATTTGTTACATAATAATTACCAGTGACATCCAAATATGATTTGGTTCATTTCTATCCAAACAACCATAGAGTAGAGGAGATGGACTTGTCGGATATGTTGGTGCCCAATCAGCTATCTCAGACATAACACCTTGACGAATAAGTTCCTCTTCTAGAAGTTGAAATACATAAAAAGCAAAACAAAGGGGAAGAAATGAAGCAATCGATTAACACTTCGAAGGCATTTGTCTAACCTTTAAATTTTAAATCAGATAAAAATGAATACTTTTCGTTGAAAGTATATGGATACGTTCTTTTTAGAAAATTATAGAATATGTATACGTACTTGTAGCTATTATTATTATTACTATTCTCCCTCTGGGTTACTAGTTCAACATAGGACTTCAACTGAACAACGTTACTTCACTCTATCCTATGCTTCACTCTACAACTAGGTGTATGACAGCCCTTATTATTATTACTGATTCCTTTAATTCCTAGAGGAACATAGGGCTTCAGCCGTGCGTCTCCATTGCGTTCGATTCTCTGCTACAGTTTTCACCTGGCTCCAAGTCTGCCCACACGTTTTCATCTCCTCTTCACATGACCTCCTCCAAGTCACTCTCACCCTTGCACTGACGACCAACTCGCCGCTTCCCTTTCGGGTTCCACTCGAGCGATGGCTTGTCTAGTGATGCCACTTGATGGTTTCCTCAGAGTATGGCCAGCCAATCCATCTCCATTTCTTCCTGCCTATTTGTTTCACAATCGGTTCCTGCTGGGTTGATTCGCAGTCAGAGATTTCTGTTGCTGATCTTTTATGGCGGGCCATCTGATCTTGTGTATTGAGCGAAGACAACTATCTCTTAATGAAGGTCTGTAGTTTGTTTGAGATGCTCTTCATGACGCGCAGTGCAAGTCTCTGATCCGTATAGCAAGTGGTACTGACTTCACATTGGAGTTGAAAATCCGGATCTTATTTTTCATGCTGAGTGCTGTTGATCTCCACACAGACTTGAGAGTGGTGAAAGCTTGTCTTGCTTTTCCGATTCTTGCTTTGATATCCTCGTCAGTTCCGCCCAGCTGTGGTTGAAACGGTGATTTCCAGGTAGGTAAAGGAGGTTGTTTGTTTCAGATTTCTCCCATTTATTCTGATTGTTGTCTGTTGTTGTCGTTCTTGTCCCGGAATCTTCATCACCACATCTGTTTTCTCTATGTTCCCCTGCAGTCCTATCTTCTCTGGATGCTTCTTCTGCCAACTTGTTGCTTTTCACTTGCATATCTTCCAGTTTGTGGGAAATCAGACATATATCATCGGCGAAGTTCAGATCCTCCAAGTTTGTTTTGTGTGAGTCCATTTTATGCCTGTTTCCTCATTGCCCGCCGCTGTTTGTCGCATTATCCAATCTACTGCAGTCAGGAAAATCATTGGCGATAGTAGGCAGCCAGCTTATCTTACTCCCGTCTCCACTTCGGAGGATTCTGTGAGTTTTCCATTGTGGATTACATGGCATGCAGCATTGTCGTACAGCTGTTGGATGAGATGTATAATTGTCGGTGGTACCCCGTGACAGCCCATATAATTATTAATAATATTCCTTTGGGTTACGAATGAAAAATAGGTTCTCAGCAACACATTTCCACTTTCCTCTACTTGGTGCTGTCTTCTATATCTTGGTCCATGATTGACCATAGTCTCTCATCTCCCTCTCCTCTTCCCCCTCCACCTCGCCACACGTTAGCCTCCATGTCACTGTAGCACCGACGACCCTCTTGTCGCCGTGGCATGCATTCAGCGTGATGTCATTCGACAGCCTCCTCAACCTATGCCCAATACATCTCCATTCCCCTCTACATATTTGTTGAGAGATCGGCTCTTTATTGGTTTGTTCATCTCTTCAGAGTTTCTTGTTGCTAATTGTCTCTGGCTGGTGAGCCGTTTGGTCTTCAGTATGGAGCCAGGCAGTCAGCGAAGGGGGCAGCTGTTGATAAAAGCCTGAAGCTGGCTGCTATTGGAAATGCTTTTCTTGACGTGTGCGCAGTACAAGTTTCTGACCCATATTAGAAGAATTGACTGACTTACTGGCTTCAAATTTGTGTTGAAAAGAATCTGAACAAATCTTGTTGTTTATGCTCAGTCCAAAATGGTTTCAGGTTGTTTGATGATGGTATATCTTGCCTTTCCGTTTCTGCTCGGCTGGTTTTCACATCTACATCCATCGCGTCTGTGTCCGTGGTTGAAACCGTGCTTCCTAGCCAGATAAGTGAAGGCAGGAAGTAACCTCTGTCAAGTCTCTCCCGTTGATGGTGATTGATGCTGGTTGTTTTTGTTGTTGTTGCTGTTGGCTGGTTGGTTGGTTGGTTATCTTCATCACCTCCGTCTTCTCTATGTTCACCTGGAGTCCTGTCTTCGGTACCTGTTTCTTCAAAAAATTTGTTTTTCGTTTTCGCCTGCAAGTCTTCAAGTTTGTGTGAGTGACATCAAACATAAATCATCCACACGTGAAATTCAGATCCTCCATAGTCTTCTAATTTGTCCAACTTATTCATGTCTTCTAACTCTCCACAGTTTGACGCATAATCCAGTCGTGTACCACAATTAAGAAAATCATCCTAGGTGATAACAGTCAGCTCATAAGCTCCGGCTTTATCCTCACACGACCTCATCCACTTTACACTTGTACCCGCACCGAACTCGTCGCTCCCCATTCGTTTCCAGAGTTCTTTGCTGCTCACCCTTTCTGATCATCCATCTAATCTTTAGTATTGTAACGACAGAAGACAAAGGCCAGACAACAGATCGTTTATTTAGGAAATCAACACATATTTATAGATTTTCATGTACATTTTTATAGATAATTTTTCGCAGACAAACAGAGTCTTCTGATTGTTTGTTCCCCATCTATAGGTTGGGTCACGCACTGACATCAATTATAGAACTGCTGGAAACCAGGGCGTACTTGACCCTTCAACTGTACGCACTCATGAATATGAATGGTCAACGGACTTACATGGCACCCTTGAAGTCCTAGGCTCGATTCCTCGTAAACCCATAGGTTCGTACTACTGAAGAGTCCAAAGCCAGAAAAAACACCTATCCGTTGTTTCCAACAGTTTTCTAACTTATGTTAGTTTGTATTCTTACATAAGGCCAATGAAATACATCATATTTCCTTGCTAAATAAACGCTAGTCGTGGAGTCTTGTTCAAATCAAGACGAGATGTGAACAGTCTGGAATTTACTGATGATCTGTGCCCATCTGCAAGGGAAGAAGGTTCGAAATAAAAAAACACCCGTCAGGTTCATCCACCCCACAGATTGCTACGCCTCTGACCAACTTAGTGAAAGCGATTGTAATGGCAGCTCATTTGACAATATCGGTAACAGACTAGGAGGAAAGTGCGGAAGAGTAGCAGAATGAAAATGAAGTTCGCAGCATCGAACAAATCCGTCCTAAGTGAGTCATTCACACTAAGGAAGGAGTAGTCCACGAGGTATATTCAACAGTATGATGAAGTGCGACGAGCTAGTGCTGTAATATGTACTCTTTCACTACATGCTTCGGATTGCCTGGAAATGACAGACATTTATGTTTCAGAAATAGATGAAGAACAAGAACTGTTTTTGATGTGGTTGTGTCCTCTGAACTTCATAGTTAATTTGCGAAGCTTTCATTGCCCCCACCCCTTCTAATCAACATCTTCAGCGAACGACTTCAATTTCTCGAAGTGAGCTTTTAGATTTCTCCACGAGTTTATTAGTCATCTCTCCTTGTAGGTGATTTTGAATGTGACTGGTTGTTTTTGTGTGTTTTCACACCCTTTAAGCTACTTGTATTGGTACTGATTGTTTCCTTGACTTGAAGTTTGACCCTTTGTATGTGAGGTTTCCTTCTTATTGATTGATAAATTTTGTCTATCTCGATGTGTCTCTTGATTGACGATTCACTGGAATACCAGACAGCCTTCTAAAAATTTTCTAGCATTCTTGGTGTTTCCTCTGTCTAATATCTGAACGTTGTCCCACTCTGACTGATGTCCGTGGTTGTCTGTATGCAGCGATTTCAGTGAGGGAGTGGATGTCATGTCTTTTGACAGCTAGTTTGTGACCATGGATACTAAGACGAAGGGGACATCGTCAACTTTGGCCAATGTATTGTTTTTCGCAGTTGTTGCAATTCCTTTTGTATATGATGTTTGTTTTATCTTCTTTCCGTGTTAAGTCTTTTGGTTGACATAGAACATAGAAGGACTGTTTACGCCAATGTGTCGAGAATTCATCCTGAAAAGACATGTGATGCAGCATAGGGCTTCCTTTCACGGCAGCACTTAACTCCAGAGGGAAAGCATAGAGGATTGTCTATGACGTTCAAAAGAATCGGTTCCCTTAACCTTGGATGGTGATACACAAGAAACTACCAGTCCGAATATTCTGTGCCAGTTTAAAAGACAGTATCCAATTATCACAAGCAGCCTAACTCTTTCTGTCATTTGGACTTGATTGTTCCTCTTATATTGTGATTAGTAGTAGTAGTAGTATTAATACACTGCTCCAACCATCATCTGTGTTCTGCTTACAGTTCGCTATTTTGTGCTCGATCCCTGATAGTCTGTATTGCCTATTACAGAACACGTTAGCTCACTTTGTAATATGACAATCCTAGGTCTAATTCCTAGTGGGCTGACAGCTTCGCACTGATGAGGAGTCCCAAACTAGGACGAAACACCACTCCCTGGCTTTCAGTGATACCTTAACTTATACCAACTTGTAATCAATCAAGTTCCTGTAAACCAACAAGATAAACACATAAAGTACGTCAAATTTTTACTGTAAACTAACCATCATCTAATTTTTGTTTATCTTCCTCCGTTTCTGGCTGGAGACGTGCATTCATTCGTCTAATTTCTTGCCTCATTTCTTTTTCTTTTTCATATCTTTCCAGCTTCACCTCAGATTCTTCATCATGTTCTAAACGTGATTTAATACTCAATAATTGATAGGAATGTGTTGTTTGAAATTGTGATAGGGCGAATGTTTTAGAATGATCATATATTTGATTCTCTGATGGACATTCTATCTAAAGATTTGAAATAAGAGTGAAAGCAATGAATGATAAAACTGGTTTCTAGATTAAAATATAATTTAATTCATGGATAAAACACGAAGTATTATTATTAATATTATATATTAGTATTATTGTTTCCTTTAGTTCCTAGAGGAACATAAGGCTTCAGTCACATGTCTCCATTGAATTCGGTTCTCTACCAACGTTTTCATCTGGCTCCACGTCAGTTCACATGCTTTCATCATCTCCTATTCACATCACCTCCTCTATGTCATCCTCACACTGACGACCAACTCGTCGCTTCCCATTCACTCCAGCGATGACCTGGCGTGTGATGACACTCAATTGATGGTTTGTTTTCTCAGAGTATGGCCAGTTCACCACCATTTCTCCCTGAATATTTGTTGCGCAATTGCTTCCCGCCGGGCTGGTTCGTCCATTGTCAGAGATCTCTTCCTGTCGCTGATCTTTTCTGGCCGGTCATCTGATCTTGAGTAGTATTGAGAGGAGACAAAGCTGTTAATGAAGGTGTGTAGTTTGTTTGAAGTGCCCTTCGTGACGCCGCCCGGTGCCAAGTCTCTGATCCGTATAGTAAGTAGCACTGACTTCGCATTGCAATTGGAAATCCGGATCCTATTTTCATGCTATGTGCTGTTGATCCCCACACAGACTTAAGAGTAATGAAAGACTGCTTGCCTTGCTTTCCCGATCCTTACTTTTATATACTCGTCATTTCCGTCTGCGTGTAGTTGAAACGATGCTTCTCAGATAGTTAATAGGTAAAGGAGTTTTCTTTTTTCAGATTTCTCTCATTTATGCTGATTGTTGTCTGTTGTTGTGACTGTTGGTGTTGGTCAGGAATCTTCATCACCACATCTGTTTTCTCTATGTTCACCTGGAGAAAGTCAGATCTTCTTTGGATGCTTCTCCTGCCAACTTGTTGCTTTTCACTTGCATATCTTCCAGTTTGTGGAAAATCAGACATATATCATCAGCGAAGTCCAGATCCTCCAAGATTTTGTGTGAGTCCATTTGATGCCTGTCTCCTCCTTGCCTGGGCTGTCTGTCACATTATCCAGTCTACTGCAATCAGGAAAATTACTGGCGATAGCAGGCAGCCAGCTTGTCTTACTCCCGTCTTTACTTCGAAGGATTCCGTAAGTTTCCCATTGTGGTTTACTTGTCATGCAGTTCATATGTGGGTAAGAAACTTTCACTGCGTGTGTGTTACGATAAGCATTTCCAACAGGCCACAACAGGCTTTTATCAAAAGCTGCCCACCTCGCTGGCTGGCTCCATACTGAAGAACAAATGGCCAGTCAGCCGACCAGAAAGAATTAGCGACAAGAAACTCTGGTTGACCGGGAACAAACCAACCAAGAGCTGATTGTCTAACAAATATGTAGGAGAATATGGAGATGGATTGAGCATAGGTTGCAGAAACCGCCGAATGATATCGCGCGCAATCTCTCGAGTAAAATCCCGATGCGAAGCGACGAGTGGGTCGTCGACACGAGGATACCATGCAGAAGATGGTGTGTTGGAGGTGGGGGAAGGAGGAGATGAGGGATTATGGGCAATCGTGGACCCAGCTGAAGAGGACAGCAGATAACAGAAGAAAGTGGAGATGTGTTGTTGAAGCCCTGTTATGTTCCACTTGGAACCCAAGGGAATAATAATAAAAACTAATAAATAACAAAAAGAAAAAGAAAGAGGTGTAAAACGAAAAAAAATCACTACACTTACTGTTATTACACAACCATTTTCTAGATAAACTATAACTTCATTTGTAGGTTTATTATTCACATAATACCATTCCAGACGGACAACTTTTTCATGAACATGTACAAAACCGATTGGTGATAGATGGGTTGAATGAACATTGAAGAAGAAAAGTGTTTC